AAAAATTAAAGAGTTCGCAAATCTCACAGAGAATACAACTAGTTCTCAATTAGAGAGGATGAGGTATTTCGCAACAACTCTCACTTGTCCGTTGTAAATCCTTTTTTCCACTACTAGGTTTACCGCATTTTGAAATAGAATTACCACATCACCTTTTTCCTATTCAAGATGGCGTCGGCTCCATCGTCGTCATCCACATCATCTACTCTCCCAATATCACACGTCCGTCGTCATGAAGACGTGCCTACACCAAGCGCTCCACCAAGTAAACGAAGTAATATCCAACCACAAGAGAGTTACGAGCCTAAAACCTGGTTACAACAACAGATGGAACAAGAGCAACAGAGAAAGTTAGCCGAGGAGAAGAAAAAACAGAGTACCTCAACAACGGGGGACGACGAAGAGGAAGAGGTGCGTGGGAGAAAGTGAATTGCCTATTTCGCAAGACCCAAAGACAATCTGATCTAACAAGAGTCAGAGTTACTCTATCAAGGTGACATGTTACAGGATGTTCTTTCCCAACCGCGTGGTCCTCACAAACGAAGATTCAATTTTGTGATGGTCAGCAATATCACATTTGCCATTCCGGAAGGTTATGATGTCGATAGTATTGAATATTTGGGTGGAGGCTCTTTTGGAAATGTTATGTAGGTTTTCTTGTTTTTGCCATTTTTCAAAAAAAAACCCATTCTTGTGAACCAAGGACTTTGCGGCCCTTCGTTGGCCGAATTTCCTTTTAGAATCGATATTTTTATACCAACAAAATTAGATTGGTAGAACTCGTCAAGTACTATAAAATGATACTATTTGGAGAATCGCATCTTGTCTATGGATGAAGTTTTAAGCCAAATTTCGTCTGAGTTACGCGGTCACAGATTTTTAACTCATAACTTTGTTCATAGACAAGCTACAGTTTTTCAAATAGCATAATTTTGTAGTACTCGTCAATTTCTATAATATACATTTTAGTTGGTCCGAAAATATTGATTTTCAAATAAAACAAGAGAGGACTCGGTATACAAGTATTTATGTATTTTTCTTTCTTCAGAAAAACAAGCGCTGTTTGCCGAGACGGTCATCGTCGTTGGGTGACAATCAAGAAGATGCGAGAACCCTTTTTTGATCCACATCATGTTAGTTTGATTTTTTTTTCATAAATTTTTGACTAGCTTTTCTTGTTTTCAGGCTCGACGCATTTTCCGAGAGATCAAATTGCTTCAATTAATGAGACACGACAATATCATCTGCGCACTTGACATTTACACTCCTGACGAGGAAAACGATTTTCGTGATGTGTATGTCTTTGAAGAAGAGCAAAAGGGCTTCTCAAAAATTCTCTTCTTTTTTCAGATATGTAGTCACTGAATTTGCTGGGCGAAGTCTCTATCGTATCCTTAAACAACAAAGGGATTATGGAAGACGGGTGTTGACCGAAGAGCATGTGAAATTTATAATTTATCAAATCATAAGAGCACTCAAGTACATTCATTCAGCAAATGTAAATATTATAGAAGAAGAAGAAGAAGATTAAGAAACAATAATTAGCTCTTTTCAGATCATCCATCGAGACCTCAAGCCCGGTAATCTGGCTCTCACAGACGATTCTGATCTGATGATTCTTGATTTTGGTCTTGCAAGATCTCTAGAAAAAAAGGACACATCTCTAACTCAATATGTGCAAACAAGATGGTACCGTAGTCCCGAAGTCATTTACTGGAAAATCGACAGCTACACAAATCTAGCAGACATGTGGTCAGTTGGATGTATTGCTGCTGAACTTCTTACCGGAGATCCTTTATTTCCTGGAGATGATGGTAATTGAGAAGATTATGAGATTTTATTTATAGTTTCTTCTGTTTTAGTGAATGCTCAATATCAAAGAATCACTCAATTGTGCGGAAGTCCCGATGAGGAACTTTTAGCAAAAATTGAAAATGACAACTCGTCAGCAATGAAAGCTGTCATCCAATCTTATAAAGTTTACAAACGAAGGAACTTCCGAGAAGTCTTCGCTGCCTACAGTCCGTCTGCAGACTTTATTGACCTAATTGAGAAACTTCTTGTTCTGGATCCAGAGAAGAGAATCACTGTGGAAGAGGCTATTCAGCATCCATATCTCGCCGAGTTCTCCCTTCCAGCAGATGAGCCAAGAGCAGATCATATCTTCGATTTGGATGACACTCAAGCTAGAACACGCTTCCAATGGAGAGGTATTTTTTAGCTCAAAAATATAAATCCAAAAATAATAAGCATTGTTTTCAGACGCTGTGTGGACCGAGATAATGAACTATCAGCGAATCATGCAGTCGCCTATTATCCCTGGAGAAACGGATCGTTGACATCACTTTTTCTCAGCTATTCTGATTGTATATAATGTCGGTTATTCTCTCTTTTTCTTCTTCTTCAACCCGTCCTCCCCTTTCTTTTTCCTCTGTCTTGTCTGCCCTATGTCGATTTATATTCCCTCTATTCCTCCCCACATTATTCTCTTTTTTGTCGTTCAGTGATAGCACATTTTGACACTGGTGATAAGTGCAGATTGCTTTTCTTTTCTCTTTACATCATTTCCTTTCCAAAGAGTATTTATTTTTCTTGTGCATTGCATTCTATAGCTTCTTCTTCTGCTCTTTTACATTTCTCTTACTACTCTTTTTTCAGTTTCTTTATCTCTTCATCTTTTCTCTCTTTTCAATTCATCTCATCATCCATTTTATTTTTTATTTATTCGTCATCCATCTTGTCCATTGCACACTTACGCACATACTAATTAGTTAAATAAACTTTTTCTAGAAGGTTGTATCTACAAAGAAACAAAGATTGGTATTCATCCAAAACAGCTACTCATAATACCTTTTCTTAATTTCTATATTAAAAAGGTGGAAAGGACCTGTTCAGATGTTCTGGGGATGGCGGTGAAGATGGGCGACTTTCCCGGAACCTTCATCGCAGATCTAGGCCCCGCGCCTGTAGAAATCACTCCAGAAGGCTATCATGAGGTAAGAAATGATAGTAAGAGCATTAATGTCGCAAAAATATAGATCTTATGTTCTTTCTGTAAGCTTAAATCTGAAAATCCGAAAATCTCAAAAGCCAATTTAATCCACATTCAGGACATAGTTGTTTTATTGGGACCATGGGAGCACACATGCAGCTATAATATCGAGATTTTAACATGTTTATTCAAATTTGTGTTTATTCAAATTCAAGACAATGCATCTATTATTGTAAACACTTTAATATAATGACACTAAACCTTTCAAGTTTGGGCTCATATATCTCATTCCCTGCCAAAGAAATCAAAAAGCGGTCAACTGATAAAATGCTCATCATAATATCAAAAATATTTTGTCAGTTGACTATTTTTTCATACCTTTCACAAGAACCGAGATAAATTGGCTCGAAGTTTAAAGTTAGGGTTTTATTGAGTGTTGACAGTAACTAGGTTCAACAACTTTTCCATAATAAACTTTTTTAAACAACCGAAATTTGATTCTAGTAAACTATAAACTTTAAAATTTATGGAAAGAAAAATTTAAGAAATATACCTTGACTTATAATTTTCAGATTGAACTCAACAAGACCAAATGGGTGATACCTCACTGGTACAACAGTTTGCGAGCACTGGGAGAGGGTGCCTATGGAGTTGTGTGGTCAGTTTTTTTTCTTCATTTTCAGAAAAAAAAAATTATTTCCAGCACAGCCGAATACGAACCCACTGGAGACCGAGTGGCGATTAAAAAATTCTTTCGGCCATTTCAAAGTACAATTCATGCAAAAAGAACGTATCGAGAACTGAAATTGTTACGAACATTGCAGCATGATAATGTGCTGGAAATGATAGATGTATTCACTCCAGATCCCGATGCTTCGTCTTTAAATTATGTGTGAGTTGTTATTCTGGGGAAGAAAGTGAGAGATAATCGGATGAAAAGAGGATTAGAGGGTTAGAGAAAGTAGGAAAATAGGAAGATCGTCGATTTGCATAGAAACAAGACAGAAGGCACGTGAGAAGAACAAAAGAAGGTCATCTGAATGGATTGAAATGGTCAACGATCATGGAATTTGTTTGTTTCAAGGAGAAAACTTTGATGTAGGAAGGGCGGAAGATTTAGGAATTTATAAAAAATCAACCAAATCAGAAAAGCGGGTTTATGTCATAAATACATCTCTTGTTTCTGTGAGCATAGATTTATGACTAGACCTCATCAAGTTTTGAAGTTGTATAGCTGGAAGTTGATTTACGATTGAGACTTTTTAATAAAGAGTTTCTAATTTTTACAACTAGAAAATCAATTTTCAAAAAATACGAATTCTCTCATTTCAGATACTTTGTGTCCGTTCTGATGGGCTCCGATCTTCAAAACATTCTAAAAATTCAACGGCTGACTGATGAACAAATTCAACTTCTCATCTATCAAGTGCTGCGTGGGCTAAAGGTATGATTATTTTTCTCCATTTTATAATTAGGGCCTCTCTCCCAAATTTTTCCTCTAGCTTTTCCTCTCAAATTTCATTTTGAGTGTGTCCATCTCTTCTTCTCTTTTCTTTCACCGAAGTGCTCCACCCTTCACTTCTCTGTCTTTATATTCCTGCGTTTTTCTTCTTTTCTCCTTTCTTTCTTCCCTTTTTTCCCACTTTCTAATTAAATTCTGGCGCGCCGATTGCTCCATCTTCTTCTCCTTTCTGATAGAAGATGTTTTTTCGATTAGCCATAGGGTCGAGAGGAGATGTATTCGAAAAAAAAGCATTTCATGAATTCTATCAATTATTCCGCTCCGTCTCTTTTTTTCTCTTCTCTCGGAGAGCTTGAATCACAAAATAAAGGAGACGTAGAGGCTTGATATATGAATGTGACAGGTTTAGATAAAAGAAGGAAAAGAGCAACAACCGAATTTCGATTCATTCCCTGCCAGCTATTGGTATACCCTTCTATAAGATATTCAAAAAGTGTATTGTTCAATGGTTTTTCTGCAATTTTGAGCATTTACAGGAGTCTGGAGCTCGGTTGTCAAGTTTCGATCACTTTGAAAAATTTGTAGAATGTAAAATAGACCTAGATTGAAAAATTTGCATATACAGAATTTTTGAAAATTCCTTTTATTTTCGATTTCGGAAAGACACCCCTTATATGCTCGTTTTAATACTGAAATCTTTTAAAAAAGGTGTCTTTTAGAAATCGGCAAATATCTGAAAAACTAGCAATTTCGAAAAAAATTCTGTGAATACAAAAATTTTTCAATCTAGGCCTATTTTAAGCCTACCAAAATTTTCAAAGTGATCGGAAACTTGACATTTGACATGGTAAAAATGGCCGAAAAACAACTGATAAATACTTTTTTCTACATCTTATCGACCGGTACTGTAGGTCAAACTTATAAACTCAACATTTGAGTCATAAGTGTATTGTACTCTCGTTCTTCTATTTGTACTTTGGCCAATCCTGTACCGTCTGTGACTACTCCAACCTCCTGCGTCTCTCCTCTATCTATTATGCCTCCTCTACAGAAGACTAATCGATCAAGAAGACACCTTCTATTCTTTTTGGCAAGAAGGGAGACAAAAATGCTGTGTTGTTTCCTTCTGAATGACGTATATTCCTCTCTTCTCCTTTATTAACTTCTCCACGTTTTTTTCATGATAAAGACGATCGACAAACGATATTGTTTACCGAAGACACACACTCTTTTTCAGTCTTTTTCTGAACTGTCTATTCCTCTTTTTTGTCTTCCTCTTCTCCCCAATATATTTTTCCTTTTTTTCCAGTATATTCATTCGGCTGGGATTATCCATCGAGACCTAAAGCCATCGAATATCGCCGTCAACGAAAGATGCGAAGTCAAGATTTTGGATTTTGGCCTAGCTCGTGCTCAGGATGCCGAAATGACAGGATACGTCGCGACAAGATGGTATAGAGCCCCCGAGATTATGCTCAATTGGATGCATTATACACAGACAGGTAGGTTAGAGATTGAGAGAGAAAGAGACTCAGAGAATGAGGAAGAAAAGAAGGGAAAAGCAAACAGTTTCCCTACTCGCAAAAAATCATTTTTATTGTTCCTCACATTTTGGATTTTTCGTTGTTCCCAGAATCGACTTTTGTCTTTTGAAAAACAAAAAATTCGAGCTTTTCCCCATTTTGAAGTTCAATGGCTGTCCCAAAATAGCGTAAAACCTCTAATAGAAGGACCCTAACTTTTAAAATTGAGCCAATTTTTCTCGGTTCCTGTAAAAGATATAAAAAAGTTGTCAACTAATAATTTGTTTATCATAAAAGCAAAATTTTTTATCAGGTAGCAAAATGTTGATATCGTGCATAGGAACAGAGATAATTGAGCCCAAATTTGACAGTGTGTGGACCCTTCTATTACAGGTTTTACGGTAGTTGAATGGGTTTTAGACCACTTCTAACAAGTATATATTTTTATAAACTTTCCAAAATGTTATATTTTTTTTCAGTTGACATTTGGTCAGTCGGATGCATCCTAGCGGAACTTGTCTCCGGGCGACCACTGTTTCCAGGTGACGATCGTGAGTTATTTCTTTTTTTTCTCCTTTTTTCACATTTTACTATTCTTTAGATATTGACCAACTAACGAAAATTATGTCAGTAGTTGGGACTCCACAAGAAGATTTTTGGTCGAAAATTCAATCGGAGGAAGCTCGAAATTATATCAAGTGAGTTCACTATTTTCTGAGATTTTTTTCGTTGATTTTACAATAATCTCAATTCTCCTTAAATGTTGGGAGACTTGGAAAAAATGACTGTCTCGAAATTTTGTGTGTATAAGCCTCTCGAGGAGTCGAACTTGTGGGAAGTATTCCCAGATAAAGGGGCACAGCCGAAAAACTGCTAATAACAGCAGTAGAGACGCAACCTGGAGGATGGCTTCTAATTGGAAGCCAAAGGAGGACCGACGGGCCGTCGACGCACCGTTGACGTTCAGTCGGAACCCCTTGGAAGACATGCTTGACAGTTCTGATTGAGTCTCGAGGAGCTTTGAAAAAAACCACAAAAGGATTTTATAAGAATCTCAATCCAACTTTCATCCACATTCCAGAAATCAGTCTCCAATCGTCCGCCAAGACTTTGGCGCCTTGTTCCCAATGGCATCTCCATATGCAGTTGAATTATTGGAAATGATGTTAATTTTGGATCCAGACGAGCGAATTTCAGTTTCCAGTGCTCTTCGTCATGACTACCTTCGAGAGTATTCCGTTCCAAATGATGAACCAGTTGCCACGATTACGGTAAAGAATAGCATAGTACGAGATTTAGTTTTCTTCTTTAATTTTGAACTCTCTTGCCTTCCAGGTAACAATTGATTCTGCTGAAGAAAATGCTGAATCTCTGAACGATTGGAGAGAATTGATTTGGAACGAGATTCGATTATTTCAAACTTCCGCCCGTCGACTTAGTTTTGTTAGCTGTACGGATACTGAAGAAGAGTCAATGAAAATATAAAATTGAATGTTCTAAAAGTGCTAAAAAGTGTGTGTGCTGAATTTACATTTCCTATGTTTTAAACTATTAATTTAATAATTATATAGATCTCATGTTTCTCGACCCCGTTGAATCTCTATAATTCCCTCAGGATCTCAATTTTTAATTTACAAACCATAGACGATTCTCAACCTATTTTACATGTGATTATTAATCCAGATTCTGACCTCAGATTTCTATTTGTTTATTGGCATTCCTATTGCATGTAAATTTATAAAAATCATTGTACATTGTGTTGAAATTTGTTGATTAATTTTGTATTCGGTGACTCATACCCGTTCCATTATCTTGATCTTTCTGAAACAATATTGTTTATCTCTATACCGAAATTTCTAGATTTCCATGTTCCCACAGCCAACAATGGAACAGATGCTTCATCCGACACCGCGCGAGGGATACTACGTCGTCGAATTGAATCGGAGTGTCTGGGTTGTCCCAAACTACTACATTAATCTCACTCCAATTGGTACTGGAGCTTATGGAACTGTTTGGTAGGTTTTTGTGAAGAATATAGTCGACCGAAAGACATTTTTCGAAAAAGGCTAATTTCGAAAATTCCTGCAAACGTTCAAACCCCGAAACTGAACTCGATATCAGTGCGTTCTAAGTCATTTTAGTATTGTGGACTAACTTTTTTTTGCGAGTTTAATTTTCTAGGTTATTTCTATGCCACAAAAGCCATTTATCATAGTGGCTTAGAAAACTCAACTTGCAAAAGTTAGGCAACTATGTTAAAAAGGCTTAGAAAACCCACCATGTTAATATCAGATCATCTCCATAAAAGTTGTGGCCTAGAAAACTCGACTTGCAAAAGTTACGCCGCCACGCTAAACTACCTTTGGACATCGATCGAAAAAAAAAATCAAGTCTCGTTCGAAAATTTTTCGAAAAAGTTCGAACGTAACAAAAATCGCATAGTGGCCTAGAGTCATTTGACAAAATTTCTAAAAATCTCATTCTCCCTTCAATTCTAACTTCTTCTAAATTATCAGTGCTGCTGAATGCACCAGGTCTGGAACTCGTGTCGCTATCAAAAAGTTCAACCGACCCTTCCAATCGATCATCCATGCTCGTCGCACATTCAGAGAACTCCGATTACTTCGATGCATGCGCCATGAGAATATTATCGACCTCCTCGACGTCTTCACTCCAAATGAGAACATGAATGACATTGAAGACGTTTATTTCGTGTCGATGCTCATGGGAGCTGATCTTTCAAACATTCTGAAGATCCAGAGGCTCAACGATGATCACATTCAGTTTCTAGTCTATCAAATTCTTCGTGGTCTCAAATACATTCATTCCGCTGATATCATTCATAGAGATCTCAAACCATCCAATATCGCAGTTAATGAGGATTGTGAATTGAAGATTCTTGACTTTGGATTGGCTCGTCAAACGGATTCTGAAATGACTGGATACGTGGCTACCAGATGGTACAGAGCACCAGAAATCATGCTCAATTGGATGCATTACACACAGACAGTTGATATCTGGTCTGTTGGGTGCATTTTAGCAGAGTTGATCACTGGAAAGACGCTGTTTCCTGGATCGGATCGTAAGTAATCAAAATGGTATCTCCAATCAATAATCTCTATTTTCAGACATTGATCAGTTGACCCGTATTATGTCTGTTACTGGAACTCCCGACGAAGAATTCCTCAAAAAGATTTCATCTGAAGAGGCACGAAACTACATCAGAAATCTTCCAAAAATGGCTCGTCGGGATTTCAAACGCCTTTTCGCCCAAGCCACTCCACAAGCCATTGATCTTCTGGAGAAAATGCTCCACTTGGATCCAGATCGCCGTCCATCTGCAAAAGAAGCAATGGAACATGAATATCTTCAAGCGTATCACGATGAATCTGACGAACCAATTGCAGAGGAAATGGAGTTGAATGACGATGTGAAGGCGGATACAATCGATGAGTGGAAGAAAATCATTTGGGAAGAAATCACAGATTTCCAGGTTGGTAGGAAAAAAACATCAGAATGAATGAGTAAATAAGCATTTGTTAGTTCTGATTCTAAGTATGAGACGTTGACTTAAAAATATGTACTCATCTATTTTTGTTATGAAATTGATATGAAAATTGATAACAGTTTGCCCTCTGCGTGTGGGTGAATCAGAAGAGTGTGGGTTAATCAGGGTTAGTAACATGAGTCATTCAAACGGAAAGAATCTTTCGGAATATCATACAGGTACAAAAAAAATGACAGAAGGTCCCACAACGAAAACTACCGCAACCTAGAAATTCAAATATGTTTTTTTTTTATTTCAGAAGAATGTGGCATTTGCCGATGAAGAGGAAGGAGACGAAGATCAAATGGAATAACCTCAAATTTTCAATTTTCAATTTTCACGTGAATATTTTTTCCCTCCGATTCTAATTTAAAAAAAACCACAAAAAATACGGTAAACGATTCGCTTATTATATTTTGCCTAAAAGTACCCCGCTATCAATATATATATATATATATATATATATATATTTATTTTTCACATTTTTCTACCCAATAACCTCAATGAGTTTTGATCTTTAGGTGCTCTTTTCGCCCCACAATTTGACCCAAATATTTTCATTTCCGTTCGTACTTTATTTTGCCTTACATGTATTTTTCGCTATTTTTTGGAATGGGGACCACACTTGGGTTCAAGCGAAGGGGTCAGAAAGCGCGCCCCAGCAAACTCGTAGGCCAGAAGAAAATTAATAATTTTAAAGTGGACGCGGATCATGATCTAGATCATGATCTATTTCTTCAAAATCAACTGGTTGCAAGGCGCGCTTTTTGCTCTTCATTTAAAACTGTGAAACTCAGCCAACGAAATTCGGCAGCGAATTTAGAATTTTTCCTAAATTTACTGAGGCGCGCTTTCTGACCCCCTCGCTTGAACCCAAGTGGGACCACCTTCTCGCACTTTTTATTTGCCTTACGATGTACTTGATAACAAAAAAAATGAAACTAATTGTTGATTCGATTTGACACTATTTTGACAGTTTTGGATACAGTCAGTATTGAAGTTTTTAAAAAAGTACACAGGATGAAAAGTATGAAAATATAGTCTTGTGAAGAAGGTTCAGGAAATTGTGAGAGCTCATAGTGAGGATACCGTAAAACCTGTCATAGAAGGGCCGGGTTTTTTTTTCGGTGAAACTCTATTAATTGCTGTCGATTTCCACTGGAAAATGACATCAAATCAACAAGAAAAAACCGACAAGAATGTTTTAAAAACAAAACATTTTCTTTCTGGTGCCACACCATTTCGCTGCCACAGTAATTTAGCAAACGGGCACTTCAATTAGAGGGAGCGCAATGCATTTTTTACAGTTTCCCATTCTGCGTGCTAGATTCTTTTGAAATTTTCTGATAATTCAAACTGGTTTCAACACTTGAGAAACATGAAAGTTTTCTTTAAAAAGGTTAAAAAATGTGTACTAGTATAAATTGTGAGTAAATTGTTCTACTGTTCAGAAATTTAAGATGCAAAAATTCTAAGAATTCGCCGTAAACTGGCCAAGTTTCAAATTATTTTATCAATTTTGAGCTGAGTTATCACTGGTCCAAATTGCTTCATCTCATGAAAAGCACAACGGCATTTTTGAACATTCATAACAATACCTAGACTTTAGGAATCGTTCTGAAAATTTCAGTAGCTTTTAATCAAAAGCAAAATTTTATTTCTACCAGTTTTCGTGTTTCCAAGAGTCTTATGTCCAAAGATATGTTCGTTTTCATCAGTGCCAGGGTAATTGTGTCCAATCTTGTAAACCGCAATTTTGTATTTTTATAGATCAAAATCATTGTTCCGCTGAAATTTTTTATCAAAATTGTCCCTTAAAATTTCATAATTTTGAAACAAAATAAAATAAAAATAATACTTTATTTATCACTTACTGAATATTTATGTGTTATTTGTTATTTTCTCGGCTCAATCGTCCTGATCAGTTCTGAATCACGAGATACAGCTCCAGATGACGTTTCTGAAGCTCCGCCCTTTGTTTTCCCCACTGCCAACCAATTTTGTGACTGATAAGCGCTTCGAAATGTTTTATAAAACTGAAACTCATAGGCGGTTCAATGTCCATTATTCTATCATTCATTCGTTTCCTCCCATTTTTCTTTGTTTGCTTTTTAATCCGTTGCTTATAAAATAGGGCAGTACTGCTGCTTTTTTATGATTATCAGTTACCAAATAATTCAGTCTGCTTTACTTTTTTCTTTTTCAGATTGACAAATGATTTTAATACTACTCACCGCTATTTTGGCTGGCGCGGCTGCCTATTTCTACAGATTCTGGAGTGTACGAGAAAAGGTAAGTGGTCTTCAAAAATGTTCATAAAATATTTAATATTTTGAATTTTCAGAGACAAGTCCAACTTCGAAAAATCGTTGAGAAGAAACGAGCTGAAAGGGCTGAAAGTGTACGGTTTGCCAAGCAATCCGCAGAGAAACTCGATTTGGAGACACGGAAAAAGATTGCTGCCATGGAATATTTAGAGCTAAAAGGTAAAGGAATGTTCTAGAAGGTTTTTATTAAACCCTGCCAAAATAGTTTTAGCAGACAATAAAATTGGGTTTCATTACTTTCCTTATCTCTAGAAAAATATGGTTTCTGATTCCTCGAAATTTCAATTTTCTAGTCTATTAAATGGCATGATTATTTTCAGAAAGCCTCCAATCTGGATCAGTTTCTTGCATTGATGCCGTCCGTACTTATTACTACAAAGCAATCCAAGCAAATGAGAAAACAAATTCCGTTTGTATGTTTGTAAAAGAAGCTGAGCAATGGGCTCTGGAATGGGATGAGAAGGCAAAAGATCCAGAATTCAAGAAGCCTCCAATGTTCGGATTCCCGATGTCACTGAAAGAATGCGTGCCTCTTCAAGGATACGATCAAACACGTGGTTTTGTTCAAGACACTTTCCGTCCAACTGAAATCGATGGAGTTCTTGTTCAACAACTCAAAAAACTCGGAGCTATTCCATATGTTCAAACAAATGTTCCACAATCTCTTCTGAGTTATAATTGCTCTAATCCGGTTTATGGGACCACAAACCATCCAATGGACAAGAATAGAACATCTGGTGGATCGTCTGGAGGAGAGTCTGCGTTGATTTCTGCTGATGGATCGATTCTTGGAATCGGAGGAGACGTTGGAGGATCGATTCGAATTCCATGTGCTTACACGGGAACCACTGGAATCAAACCTTCCCATTTGAGATTCTCGCATCGTGGAGTTTGTGGATCTGTACCTGGACGTCCTCTGATCAATTCTAATGATGGTCCAATGTCGACTCGAGTTGAAACCAATGTTGATTTCCTTCGCACCGTCTGGGCAGACACGTGGATTTCTGAACAAGATCCATATGTACCACCTGTGACATGGAATGAAGAAGCATACCAAAGTGATAAGAAACTGAAGATTGGATACTACACAGACGATGGATGGTTCACTCCAACCCCAGTTTGCCAGAGAGCTGTTATGGAAGCAAAACAGATATTGGAAGATGCTGGACACACTCTTGTTCCATTCCGTCCTCCAAGAGTTCCAGATGTTTTGATTATGTTCCTACGAGCAGTTTGTGTAGACGCTGGGAAATATTTATCAAAGAAACTGATGAATGACATCATTGATCCACTTCTCTACACCCAAGTAGTTCTGTGGATGGTTCCAGTTCCAGTTCAAAGATTCTTGGCCAGCTTCATCAAAGTATTCTTCCCTCGCCTTGGAAGTCTTATGAATGCGTTGACTTTGAGTACTGTGGAACTTCGTAACACTTATGCCGACATTGAAGCGTATCGAAGTGAAATGGCTGCTTTGATGATTGATCAGAAGATTGATGCTCTTTTGTGTCCGGTTACTGTATCTCCTGCTCTTCCACATATCGCTCCGTCGAAACTGTTTGCTGGAACAAGCTACACGGGAATCTTCAATCTTCTAGATTATGCTGCAGGTAACACTTTAGAATTAGTTTTCAAAATCAACAATGGAAATTTTAGGATCCGTCAATGTGACTCATGTTACAAAACAAGACGAATTGGATCTGGAATCCGACTACGAAGCATCTGATCCATGGTACGCTTTGGCTAAAAATAGTTCTCGTGGAACAATTGGATTTCCAATCGGAGTTCAAGTGGCAACTCCTCCGTACCGGGAGGAGACTTGTCTTCGTCTGATGAGAGAAATCGAATTGGGTGTCACCGGAAAATAATCAATTATCTCTTTTAGTCTTTCTTTTTCATTCCCCAGACTGTCATAATATTTGTGGACTACGGTTTTTTTTATTCTGTGATAAAACAAATTTCTTGATAATAAATAGTTGTTTTACTTGATGGAATTTCACCGATTGAAATCAAAAAGTAACATTAGGAATTGAAAAACCTAGTGAAAGATGAATATGCGGAGGCATTTTGAAATTAAAAAAATCTAAATCTCAAAAAAAAAACTTTCCCGGCAACCAAACGAGCCGAAACTTATGTAGTGCATTTGCTCTCTAATCAAAGAGCAGAAGCAATCATTAACTCTAAAGTTTTCAACCTAGACGAACTAAACCGTTCGTTTTGTTGAAAAAAGAAAGAAGAAAGAGAGTTCAGAGAACAACGACAAAAGGGATTACATGTTTGCCGGGTGGTTGTTGAATGCAAACAGTAGAAACTCTCTCCCGAAATTTGACACTAGAAGGATGAAAAATAATTTTCAAAACTATTTTTATTTTCTGCCTTATATATTGTGGTGTGAACTTCAATTCTCGGATGGCAGTACTGGGTTTGATAAAAACGGGTAAATCTTTAGATTTAAGCATCTTGGAAGCACGAAAATTGGTAGAAATATAATTTTACGTTTCATTCAAAGCTACTAAAATTTTCAAAGCGGTTGTTCAAGGTATTGTTATGATTGTTCAAAGATGAATGTTTCTTGTGATTTTGATGAGATGAAGCAACTTTGAAAAACGGTAACTCAGCTCAAAGTTGACCGAATAATTTGAACCTTGGCCAGTTTACTGATGAACTATTTGAATTTTTGCATTCCAAATTTTAGCTCAATACAACAAAAAACGTTTTTTTTTTCAAATTTTATTCTGGGTAATCATGAGCCAACCTGTAGTTTCCCGAAATTTAGCCTGAATGTTGAGAAAACCATTTTTTGAACCTCGAAATTAGATTTATTCAGATAGTTCTTGAACCTTTGTAGCCTGAAAACTGTAGTTTGGATAATAAGTTCAGGTGACAATCTGTCCATGTCAAAACTTGATTTTGATGGTAAGATGATTTGACGACCGCCCAGGTAGATTTTCCTGCACGTGATTCTGATGAGATGGGTTTTATAAGATCACTCATACTTTTTATTAGGAACAGAAACGTATACCTTCAACAGGACTGGAAGATTTTTTTCGACTCGGCCGGGTCACCCGAGTCGAGCCGGGTTTTCGGGTCGTCTTTGAATTTGACAAATATGCAGAATAGGGATTCCTTTAGCTATTTTTTGATTTTTTTTTCTCTTCAAATTCAAACACTAACTTTGTCTATTTATTTCCACATCACCTCCATTTGAGGTTTATTTCCAAAAACCAAATGATTCATGTCTAAATACGAATTTTTCAATATCTGATTCATTCTTTTTTCCTCTCTTCCTCGTTTTTTTTCAGTCTAATTCTTGTTGATATGATTTTCATTCTTCGATTGAAAAAATCTTGATAAGTTCTTAAACACACACAAAATCTCATTTTATTTGCTCTATGACCTTCCCGCGAAATGTCTACTTTGAATTTCTCCGAATTTGAGAAAAGTTCTCCTCCTTCGCTTTCTGTTTAGTCATCCTTTTCGGAGAGACCATCACAAATTATGATATTAGTATCTGACTATTCGATTAGTCATAGTTTTGAGTTTTTTTTCAATTGAAATCTTGTTTTATATATTTGCTGGCTAGTTTCAGGAATACCAAAATCAAATTTAAATTTCAAATCATTTTTGCATTAGGTTGGCCGGAAAGTAACTGTCCATTTTTTGATTAATGAATAACACAAAAGCAAGAGTTATCCAAGATTGACAGTATGCACCGTCGCGGTCCATGAAATGTTGACAACATTCAGGCAACTTGTGGATACCATACCTTCAAAAGCCAGCTGGCTGCGACACAAAGTATTTTTTGAGTCCAGATTTTATCTCAACTTCAGTGTTGAATTATTTTCCTCCAGATGAAGTTGCATATCTCCTAATCATCAATAATAAAAGGGCCGAATCAGGAGTTAGAAGTGCGTAAAGGAGGAACGTCCAGCTAAGGCGGCCCAGGTCTTACTTGACTTACCGTGGAACATAGATTCTCAAGTTATTTAATGAAACTCAATTCAGTCCTAAGACGCTTTGGATGGACGGCTTTTCACTTTCCTTAAACTCCAGACTTAACCCTTTTATTATTGGCTATTCGGAGATATTCAACGTCATCTGGAGGGAAAATAATTTTACACTGTCGATGAGAAAAAAACGTCCGGGAAGGTATATTTTGATTCACGGCCAACTGGCTTTTGAAGGTATGGTATCCACAAGTTGGCTGAATGTTATCAACATGTGGACCACGACGGTGCATCCTGTCAATCTTGGATGGTTCTTGTTTTTGTGTTATTCACGAATAAAAAAATGGACAGTTACTTTCCGGCCAACCTAATACTTTTCAATTCCGTCTAGTCACTTTTTTACAGTTTCGATTGAATTTTCGTTTTCAGAAAAGGAAAAGGTTTTGCACCAAATCAGTGATCTGGAAAATATATAGAATTTTTCGTCTCTTTGCAAAAATCCTATTTTTCGAAATTCAAAACATATTGAAACAGTGTTTGAGTTTTGAAGTGTAATTTGATTCTGTTATTGGAACTAACAGACCAAGGTCCACTTCAAATAATTTCGAGAGGTTTTTTTTCCGAATTTTAGTATGTTCTCCCTCTTCTTTGAACTATTCCATCTTCTATTCTTCCGGTCATTTTTACGATATTTTTCATCGAAAAATCTCGTTAAAAAGTCATTAAAATCTATTTATTTCACAAAAAATGGCGCTTTTATTAAAGGTGCCCTTATATTACAGGTTATATGGTGTACAAAACCATGAAGAGATACCTTGGGCATTTCACTCATTCTTACTTTACCCTCTAATAATTTGTTTTACTTCCTAGATATATTTTACTTCCTCTAATTGGTACCTTTCACTTCATCTAACTTTCCTTTCTCTAATAGATATCTGTTGTTCGCTCTCAGTTTCCATGGCGATTCTAGCTATTATTGTTTCCATCCACCTTTTCAAACTTCATTTTTTGTGACTTGTCATCTCTCTAGTGTCATTCACCAGAATCTCGTGTGTCGGCAAACACCTCCTCAAAGAAAATGTGCCTATAAAAATATCGTTTTTATCACACCTATTCCAAACTCCACCCATTTTGAATGGGAAAGAAGAAGTTTATTTCAACTCGAAACATTTTCAGCATCGTCGTCGCAACATGCTCTTCTATGTGGTACTCCTACTTTTAGGAGCAGGCGCCTATTACTACCATTTTACAGCGAACAGAAAGAAGGTGGGTTTCCCAAGAGATCTATTAGAAATTGGTAGACTCTGTTTGATATATTTCTTCTTCTCCCATAGGATATCAGTTTAACAAGAACACCCTGCGACCACATGTGATATGACAGATGATTTCTAAAAATACAGATATTTATTTTCTCCTAATTCTCTTCATTTACACACAAAACATAAGAAGCCACTTAACAAACATTTTGAATCTTCTTCAAAACCAAAAAAAACCAATTTTCAGATCATTGAAAGACTGGAAGTAGTTGCTCAACGAAGACGTGATGATCTGGCCAAAAACGTCGTGGAGACTAGGAGAATCGCTGATAAACTGGACCCCAAAAGGAGAGATTACGTCGGAGGACTTGATTTCATCCAGCTACAAAACGAACTTCAAAAAGGAACAGTTACATGCGTGGAAGCGGTTCGCACCTATTTCCACAAGGCCATTTTGGCCCATGAGAAAACGAATGCAGTGACTTGTTTCATTTTGGAAGCAGATCAACAGGCTGAGGAGTTGGATGAGAAGGCAAAACAAGCATCCTATGTGAAACCACCAATGTTCGGTGTTCCACTTTCATTGAAGGAATGTCTGAAAGTGAAAGGATATGATACAACAAGAGGTTTTGTTCAAGACGCCTACAGACCAGCCACAGAGGATTCTATTCAAATTGAGCATTACAAAAAACTTGGTGAGTTAAAATTCCAATTAAACGATAAGGAAGTTCGGCAGGCAGCATTTTATTGCTTTTTAATAATTTTTTCATAGATCAAAACTAATAAAAAGTTTAATATCAGAGTAATAAAAAAATAAACACAGGTTGATACAAAAACGTTTTCCAGGTCTGATCCCATTCTGCCAAACCAATGTTCCACAATCCCTTCTCAGTTACAATTGCTCGAATCCTCTTTTCGGAACAACGACGAATCCATTCGATTCCACTCGTACTTGTGGTGGATCTTCTGGAGGAGAAGGAGCTCTTATCGGAGGACGTGGATCTATTATTGGCATCGGAACTGACGTCGGAGGATCTGTCCGAATCCCATGCCATTTCACAGGAACCGCTGGAATCAAGCCATCCAAAATGCGATTCGCTCATCGTGGAGGTGGGGCGTCGGTTCCAGGAAAGCCAATGATTGATGCGAATGATGGACCGATGGCTCAGGATGTGAGGGCTAATGTTGAGTTTTTGAGAAATGTAAGTTTTTCTGTCAGGGGACACATTTTGGTTTTTGATCATCAAATATGACTTCCTCGTTGATTTCCAAAAGTTAGTTGAATTTCAATGATAAGATTCCTATGATAAGAAGTACACTTTAGCCTTTTTGGATGTCACAGGTTTCCCAGACAACAAAATGGAAAACATATGACAAGAAAGTTGTTGACATCAACTGAAGTATGATTCAAAGAACAAGACCAGTTGAACCAGAAAATTTGAAAATAGTCCGCATCTTTTCGGACGGCATCTAGCAGTTATCCGCCCCATTGAAGAAACAAAATTATCTCATTTCAGGTCTGGGGAGATATCGACTTCCAATCGGATCGTGATCCATACTGCCCACCAGTTCACTGGAACGAATCCTTATACTCAAGTGAGAAGAAACTTCGTGTCGGATACTACATAGACGATGGATGGTTCACTCCAACGCCAGCTCTCCAAAGAGCGGTTCTCGAATCAAAGAAACATCTCGAAAACGCTGGGCACACTGTCATCCCATTCTATCCACCACGACTTACAAAAGTCATGCAATTGTACTTCAGAGCTGTCTGTTTGGATGGAGGCCAGTACGTTTTGAACAAGCTGTTGAAGGATATCATCGAACCCACTATTCGATTCCAAGTGACTCTTTGGATGGTTCCAACTTGGGTTCAACGTATTCTCAGCTATCCAGTCTCGTTGGTCTTCCCAAGAATGGCAGTTTTGATGCAATCGTTGACAAGAGATACTTTTGGTTAGTTGTGCTGCTAGGCTAGCCCTAACAACCAAAAAATAGCACAAGAATTTCAGAACTGAGAGAAGCATACGCTGATATTGAAGCCTATCGTGAGGAGTACGTTGGAATGATGATGAAAGACAATTTGGATGTTATTCTCTGCCCAGCATCCGTTATGCCAGCTCCACAACACGACATCCCATCAAAGGTCGTCTCTGGAGTCAGCTACACTTGCCTCTACAATTTGCTTGATTTTGGAGCAGGTTTTGTTACATAAACACTCTTTCAGTAATGTGAAACATTTCAGGAGTTGTCCCAGTCACCACTGTTAGCAAGTCTGATGAAGAGAAGCTGATCAACGAGTATCCGGAAACTGATAAATGGTATCAGACTGTCAAGAAGGCGACTATTGGAGCCATCGGTATGCCCATTGGAGTACAAGTCGCTGCTCCTCCATTCAGAGAAGAAGCAGTTTTGAGAACAATGAGAGAAATTGAATTGGCAATCACTGGAAAGTAGAAGAAACTCTCAAATTAAATTTTGGTATTGAATCTTTCATATTCCTTTTCTGGTTCCTTGTAAAAAAATAAAGTTAAAATGTATGATGTCAATTTAACAGTAACTTTGCGATTCCGGGAGAATCAGACACTTCGAGATTTTCAGATTTTTCTGAAATTTTTTTTTCCTGGAGTTTAGTAGAATAACTCATTTTCAAAAATTCTGGATCTCCCAATTATTAAATTAAATTTTTGACATTAAATTTCTGACATTTGGAATATTCTGAAACTTTTTGAGTTTTTACAATTTTGAATTTCTGAATTTCTGAATTCACGAATTCTTTGGAATATTGTATTTACTGATTTTCAGAATTTGCTGGCAATTCTGAATGGCAAATCTGAACATTGAATTTAGAAATTTGTGGAATTTCGGAGCTTCCCAGCTTCCTAATTTCTAAATTTCGTGAATTTCTGAAACTTTCTGGAAATTCCGAGGTTTTGATCATGACATTTATAATATATTTATTTTCTGCAAAAAGTGACATTTAATGAAGTGGTGCTCTCTTGCAAATATAAGCTCTCATGTCGATCTGTGCAACGTTGTTCCATCGAGTGTCTTCTGTGTTTTTGTCCTCATGTGGATCAGCGACCAACTTAAAATGGAGCGGTTATTTGAAGATGATGATTCAATCAAAAACTCACCGAGGTCCACCATTCTTTCCCCATATTATTTGGCTCACCATCTCCCCAGTTGAGATAATTCACAGGAGTTCCATCAGTCCATTGCCATTTAGAGTTTTGGTAGATCAATCCGATGAACACATCATCATTGTGACCTTTGTCCTTATTGGTGATTCCGGCTTTTGAGAGTTCTGAAATGATGAATTTCACTTTGAAGATCTGTTTAAAAAACTTACCAACAAGGAATTGATTTTCAGTTTGAGAGTGAATCGAAGCCAAATCTCCTCCATCAGCTTGGCAAGCGCTACGAGCGTCATTGAAGCTTGTGAATCGAACAGTGCTCTGAATTTTTAAAAAGATTCGAAGAACAAGGATTTTTTGGAATTACCTTGTAACAGAAATCAGTCTCATCGTACCAGGTATATCCAGATGGGCAGTGGCTTGGAACTGAAATTCCATTATTAGATCAGCCTTCTTTATCCTTTTGACTTACTGGTAACAGTTGGACATGTTGGTGTGACGCTTGAAGAATAAGAGCAGATGAATGGCAATTGGGATGTGCAGTTGGCAGTCAACCATTTAGCAGTTCCGGTCTGAAGTTGCATACAAGCGGTGGATCCTTGAGCACTTGGCTCTCCAACTCGGTAATTCTGATAATCAAAGTTGCTTCCATCAGTCCAATACCAGTTCAATGGGTTGGTGACATCTGGAGCAGTAGTTTTGGCTCCGAGCCATGCTGATCCATCGAAATATTTTTGAGCTTGACTGGAAACGAAAGTGTTGTCGATAGTGTTGTGAATCGAGACCAAGTGACCATTCAGAGTGGCACAAATCGCTTCAGCGCTTTGGAAATCCGTTGCTGTTCGGAAGAATGTTAGACATCTGAAATTGAAATTTCTTAAACGTCTAGAACCTTTTCTAACCTAGAACTAGATGATTGGAATACAGCTCCAGGTCCACATTGAGCAGAAACCAAAGGTAAAAGGAGAGAAAGAAGGAGCATCGGTTGAAACATTGTTTCAAACTGACGGCTGCTGATAATGAGACCATTCTTTTATATCATTGTTCTTCCCCAATTGTGTAGTCTATCACTTTCTCTGATCATTTCTCACGGATGTGTGATAATAAAGTGATCAAATTCGTAATCTTTCAGGAAGAGGATCCTATTAAAATCTGTAACAAATACGGAAATGTGGTTATGTGATTTCAGTGATCACAAAGTTTTAATGGCCTTTCTAAAAACAGTGTAGTAGTGTCCTGTGCTAGGTGTATGAAGAAACCACGAGTTCAAACTATCTTTTTATCAGCATTTTTTTCATAGATATTCAAAAATGAAGATCGGTTTCAAAGATGGGCCAAAAAAACGGAAACGAAACTGATGATTGGTTCTTCACATTTTTTTTTAAATTCAATATTAGGATTATAGGTCAGGTCTGATTTCAATGCACGTCGGATATCGAAAATTCAAGGATGGGCGGAGCTTAGGTCCGGTTATCCTTAGAGGCGCATTGAAAAAAACATGTTTTTTTAATTTTGGATTTTTGAAACAAAAATAAACAGTTTAAAAACGATAAAAATTTGTCGAAGAATCGAAAAAAATAGACCAGAAAATAATTACGAAAATACAAGATCCTAAAAATTACACTCTAATAGAATGACTCCCGCTTACTTTTACCATTGAGCTAATGTATCTAGGTTCCTGTGAAAGATATCGAAAAGTGATTAACTGATAAAATGTTGCTTATAACATAGTAATTATTTTATCCGTTGACAACTTTCTGATATCTTTTAAAAGTACCGAGATAATTGAGCTCAAAACTAAAAGTCAGGGAAATTATTCTATTAGAGTGTTAACGGTATTAAGAGCTTGGTAGGTTGTTAGAGATTTAGTTTATCTTCCAAATTGGTTATACCAATTCATCATGAGAATAGTTTCCATTGTGATTGTATTGTTTTACTGGTGTCATCTTGTATTGTATTTAATCCATTTCTTTCCCACACTTGAGAATACTGTATCCATGTAGCCATGACCATTTACAACTAATCAAACACCCTTGTGAATGGATATCGTTGACTATTTAGTTACCAGGAAAGCCATATTACAGGAAGAGGACCTTGACCCAATTCAAGTCAATTGGTATCGCAAGGTAATAGGTAATCCAATTGAGTAAAGAGAACTAAAGTGAATTCAGAGGAGAAAATCCTGTTGGATCCAGGAGATGTCTACATATCCAGAGTTGACGGATTCCCCTTGGCTTCAATATTGTTTCATCCTTTGTTTCTTTTTCTTTTTCTCAAGAAATAAAGTGTATTTCATTTGAAAATCCTTTTGCGGGGGAAAAGAGAAGAAGAATAAGACAAACAAATAAACAAAAGAAAGGAGAGAAGAATGACCATTTCCATTGCAATATGCACGATTGATAATCCCTTTTCACAGTATAGATAGAAACTGTTCGTAGTAGACCCCGAAAGAGATACTATACCTGAATCAGAGGGTGTCAGAGATGGCCTGGTGAGAGTGCGTTCAGCTACGCCAAAGTGTTGTACACACAGAAGAGACTGTCGGAGTGTCTGCGACCTCTTCTGATTCCGATACTCTCTCACTCTATGTGGATTTATCGCGCCGCGACTATGCCAAGAAGAAGAAGAATAAAAAGGATTTTTTGAATGGAGAATTCTGTGAAGACGCAGAATGTTGAAGGGTAACTACCGGCTAGGCCTGACCTCATTTATTGCATTCATACCGCAAACCACCGTGCAATTTTTTCCCTCTTTTCACTGTTTTTTGGTTTATAAATACATAGTTCGGAATTATTAATTAGACCATATTTATTCCCAATTCTAAAATATTCGAAAAAATAACAAAGAGTTGGGCTCAAACTATCTTTAAACTGTAGTATTATTTCTTCCACTCTTCTTTTGAAACTAATAACATTGCTTTTGTAACGTTGAGAGCTTTGAATTGAGCCCAAACAGAACTAGTTTTGGCAAACTATGACATTTACGGTGCTTTTGGGTCCCACCACAAAAATCGAAAAAACTGAAAATTATCGGATTCTAGTCGTGTTTAGGCAAATTTTGAAGAAACTTTAATTTTAAACTCAGTAATTTCATTATTTTCAAAATTGGACAATTATCAGCTGAATTATAAATAGCGTATTATTATTTCTTTCACTCAAATCCTTAAATACTTTTCATCTTTTTTAAATAATTATTTTCCAAAATTTGCTATTTTGCAGTAACAAACAAAATTGAACAAAGTGGGTCTGCCAATAAATCTTTATGCAATTCTTAAATTGGATTACTGTACTTTCTTTGGTTTCAAGATACCCGAAAAAGATCTGTTGCTATATTCAAATTAAAAGATTTTGAAAGACTAATATATCCAATACCGTAAACACTCTAATAAAACGCCACCTCTGACTTTTAACTTTGAGCTTGTTTATCTTAATTCCTCTCAAAGATATCAAAAAGTGGTTTACTGAGAAAATAATTTTGATATTATAATAAACATTTTGTTAGTTGATAACTTTTTGATATCTGTTACAGTAAATGAGATATATAGGATAAAAGTTTATTAGAGTGTTATGCGCACAGAAATTCAAAGCACCGAGACTGATTCCCTCCGGAAAGTTTGAAATTGACATGCATGTTAGTCATGGAGCACACAAACTAGCACTCAAGACTTATTTCCAAGATTCAAATATGAATCATTTCTGACAGTTTCCAACCTCTTTCAATTCGATGAAAATTGATTTCAGAATTTTTGTGTCGTTCTAGTCTTACCTATTTTTAGAATCATCTCACTTCTTTTCCAAGTACATATTCTGCAATTTTCCACTTCGTCCCTTCTTCCCTCATTTACAATAGTTTTCGACTCGAAATTAGTTGTCTCGGAGAGAAAATAAATGAGTACATCTACCACCAGCAACAACAACACCAAAAAGAAACGACATTTTGCTGAGGGCGCCCATCTTTCCGTCTCAAGGGTATTCAGTGTCACCACTTCAGATCCTGATTCCCCTTCTTCTTTTGTTTTTGGTGACGTCTTCGTTGCCTTCTTCTTCTTCGAACTGCTGGAAGACGTGCCAGAACGTTCTGCTGCTTCTCATTTTCTTCTTTATTATCGTTTTTTGTCTCTTCATCAGCTATTCTCGATTTGTTTTGTTGTGCGGGAACTCCGTGGGAGAGTTTCGACAAGACAAGACTGTGCAAACAGGACGTCCCATTCCTTCTCCCATCACCACAACCACCACGCCACTTACGGCCAAACAATCCACCCGTTTTGTGCCCCTCCATTTTCCCATTGTCGGCTTCTTGCCATCCACAAATTGACTTGTCATCCTCAACCAACCAGCTTCTCACTGGAGCACAAAAAATGGGAGAGAGTCTTCTGGTCTTGGAAAAAAATAGGATTGTTAGTTATAACTAAACACATCTGTTCTGAACTATTCTTTGTTCTTTTCAAATTTCAAATTTCTACTGTTTGTCAAGTTTGAGCTAAATTATCTCGACTCCTATAAGAGATATCAAAAATGTGTAAACTGAAAAAATGTTTGCGATATTATGATAAACATTTTATTAGTTAACAACATTTTCAGATCTTCGACAGGAACTGAGATAAATTGGCTCAAAGTTAAATGTTAGGGGCCTTACTGTAACAGGTTTTACGGTCAACTTTAAAACCAGGATTCGGTAGTACCCCTTTCTATTTTTACTTCCTTTTCAGTTGTTCTTATGATCTAATTCTTTATTTAAATACATTTTTTCGAAGATGATCAATCCGTTCAAAAATCCTTCTCTATAGTTATTCTAGTCCAACCTTATTCGATATTCAGACTACCATTTTTTCAATGTTCAAATTTGTAAAAAAAAACCCTCTTCCGTAAGAAAATTTCTATTACAAAAATTCGTGATAGGGAAGATAAACGCCAGTGACCATTGCCAGAGGTCCCACAACGACAACTACACTAACTTCAAAATAGTTTTATTTTCCGGATTTATTTTCTTGATCTTACATTTTTGGTCATTTTTGGCAATTTTAAAGATTCAGAAAAATTGTATTTTCTGACTTGTCTAGAAGTTTCCAACAAAAAAGTTTTCGAAAGGAATAGCGATCGAGAAAAAAGGACTGAAAATTTCAGGTTACTGTAGTTTTCTTTACGGGGACCGTTCGCCATGACCACAAAATTTTCTCTTCCACAGCTCCAGATTTTTTGTCCCAGCTCTATATGTAAAGGCGAACCTTTTGCAACTACGGTATTCAACCACTTTCTTTTTTTTCCACTGATGGAAAATTAGCAAATGCTCTCACACCGCTTATTCAGAATGCCAAATCAGTTCTATTCTCTCTTTTTTTTCCTCCACTCATTTTTCACTCTCCTTCTCTCATACAAAAATAAATACATTCAATTGTTGTTAAATGTGTCAATAGCTGTATATCTAAATGGTATTTATTACTATTTTTATTATTATTTTCAAATACACCCTTTCAAATTCTCTTTTAAAGCCCTCCCCGCTCTGCCACAGTCCAAATGGGCAACGTTCCAAACACCTAAAAGGGCGTCACGCATATCATTTTAATGCGCCTCGCAGCCAGCAACAGCACTGTTTGCATTGAAGAAGAAGAAGCGAATCCATTAGTCGTCAAAAGATTCCTGTTTCTCACTTTTTTCTTACTTTTCAAACTTTCAAATCCCCCATACAGAGATGTTTCTATTCCGAGAAGAATCAAGACAGATTTGAACAGATTAGAGCTTTGGAGCTCTTTTCAGAAGATTTTTTTTTTGGAAAGTTTGGCAAATGCGCTCAAACGGAATTACCGTATGAATACAGTAAGGTTAGCGTTAGTCTCGAGACGAAAACTTTAAATTGAACTGCAGAGTCTTATGGTTTTGCGTCTGGATTCCATCGGAATGAAACATTTATATTTATAAAAACGTTCCGGAAAAATAGCCGTGATGAATATATGGAACCTTCACTAGACCGAACATCACCGAATTCGGATTAGAGCGCGTTTGCCAGAAGTCTTGCGAAGTTTGATGAAAATAAATATATGAAATCAGGTCATATCCCGGTTCCTCCACTTCAATTTCGATTATAAGGTTCCTCCACTTCAATTTCGATTATAATCAAATTATCGTTTCTTCTCGACCTGTTCCTTCCCTCCATCATCTGCTTCTGTCTCTTTATTTCTTCAAGTCTTCTTTATTACCTCTCGGGAGCTCGTAAAGACGACACCCCGCTCGCTTTTTTACCACCAGGGGATACTATTTTTTGTCTTTCCTGCCATAGTTCTTTTGAAAAGGTCGCTCTCTCTCACCCAATGTATCTTTATCTTTGTGTTATTCTCTCTATTTATCGCCTTTTGATCTTCATTCACTAGTTTTTTTTCTAACTTTTTTCATTCGTTTGCATATATATATATTCATTCTTATTGTTGTTTATCCCCCGCACAAGAATAGTATTGAGGGATATGACAGATCGCTGGCTGCGAAAGTTTTCGTCTTGTTCCATTTATTTTCACTTTCCAAACATCATCATCATTTGACTATATGATCAAGATTGAATATATAATTTTATGTATTTCTTATGTTGTCAAGCCACCTGAATTCTCTTCCTTTGTGACATCTTCTGAAGGCGGATGTGTCTATGAGATCAGGAAATTCTCGATAGTTTTTTTTTTCCCGTCAGATATATTAAAATGGTCCCACAAGGAAAACTACCGTAACCTAGGAATATTTTTGCTTTCCGGACTTATTATCTCGATTTTCGTGCGTTTCAGTGAATTTTTCCACTACCAAAATTTTTTATTTTTCGGAAAGCAGTGAAAAACGAGAAAATTAATAGGAAGAATAAAAATACGTTTAGGTTACGATAGTTGTCGTTGTGGGACCTCCGGCCACAGCCACAGCAGTTTCTCTTCAACATCTCATTTTTTGTACCAGAATATTACTGTATCCCTAAATTGTAACATGCACACAGTTTTTCACCATCAGCCCCATAAAAACTGTGCGGCTCCGCCCACTTTCTCGTTTCCTGTTTTCTAGCACACGAGGTTACTGTAGACAAAACTGTGTATACTCGCCTCATTTGACGACAAGATGCACATTTTTTGTTTTTTTGTGAATTTTCAATTTTTTCAATTCAAAAAGCTTTCATTAAGGGAATTTCGAAGTTGTTTAAATAGCTCTTTTTGATCAATTAAAGTGTAATTGCCAAGCTGACTTATAAGTCTCACTGATAGGTGCAGTTAGCCGAGAGATGATCGAAGATTGGCGTTTCGCTTCGGAAAAAACATATTTTCGCTGCCCGCGCCATTAATTAAGTTCCCACCCGTCAACTTCGATTTATCGTTTGCTAGATAAGCGTTCTCGATAACCCACGCCCTTCCTCGTTTCTCTCTCTCTCCGCACATGGCGATTATAATGATGATTAAAAGAAGAAAACTGAGAATCAAGAAAAAAACCATGAAGACGTTGACACAGTCCTATCGTTGTATTGGGAAAAAAGAGGAGAAGCTGATAGGAACCGATAACAAGTTGTGTGTGTCGTTTTCCACTCCTTATCTTCTCATTAGACACGCTCCAAGTGTATTGCCTCCGACGAATGTGTGTTTCAATTCATTTGCATGTGTTCGTCAATTTAGATCGAGAAACTTGTTGTAGAACTTATTTAGAAAATATCGCCATTCAGACTTTTTATGTACATGGGAAGTTGTTCTTGTTTTCAAAAATCAAACCACAAACCTTATTATGTTTATTCAACTCTTTCGCAACCTTACAAGAGAATTCCCCTTTGAGATTTCTCTCGATCCCAATCTTTTTGCTCTAATTTCTATGTCTCATCGCTTGTTTTTTTCGTCGGTTTTCGGTATTTTTTCTTCTCTTTTCACACAGTTTTCTTGTAAAGATTCCATTTCACTTTTGATGCTATCGTTCCACTTCTCTCGCGTTATGTTTACATTTCTCACTGACAATTCAAGCAGAGAACCCTCCTTCGGTTAATATGTGGCTGCCACTAATTTTTTTTCTTAATTCGGTCCGTAGTTAGCATTTTGATCAGGGATGTTCGGAATGGCCTTTTCGGAATGGGGAGAAACTTCAAAATTTCAAAACTTATAGATTTTGGATATTTGAAAAAAACCCCGGTTTTGAAAACTTCGGAATATTCCGATTTTGAAAATTTCGATTTTTTTCAAATTTTTGGAATACCCCGATTTTCGGAATTTTCAAAATTTGGTAATATTCCGATTCTCATATTATCGGAATTTTTAATTTTTTGGAATTTTCAAAATTTCGGATTTGAAATACCGTTTTCTCGGAAAAAGTCGAAAATTTCGCTTCGGAATTTATAATAGTCGCATTTTAAAGTATTTTGGAATCAAATTTTTCCATCACGAAATCGCGAAAAATGGACAAAAAGATGTAAAGAACTCGAATAAAAATATTGCAAGAAATTCCGCTCGAGACCCACAAAAAAACTTCTTGCGTGCGCCTTTGAAGTACAGTCCACCGAAAATTTCTAGTTCCGAGAAAGAGCTTCGGAAACATTCCGATTTTTTTTCGAGTTTTACTTTCTTCGTTCTCAAAGATGTTTCAATTTTATATCAGAAACATAGTCTTCCATCTCTCCATAAATCTTACTCAAGTCTTACTCTGTATATCTGTTCATCCAATCTAGCTACTTCCGACACTTCTTCCACTCCCAAAAACTTGCATATCTCTCTCTTTGTTCCATTATCCTTACATCGCCCATAGAGCCACCCCGAAACTACTTCTCGCAGCTTTTTCCCTATAATTAGATGCTCCTGACGACCAAGTCTCGCTTCGTTAGGTGCTCCGAATGACTTGATTACATCTTCTTCTTCTTTCTTCCAAAAAGAAGCCGTTTGCAAAGCATCTTCTTCTTTCTTTTCCTTCAAAAAAAAGTACGTTTCCTCAATGAGTTTTCCTTCCAATTTCCCCTCAAAGGATTATGTCTTTCCGAAAGAGGCGGAACTTAAAATACTTTGGAAACTTTTTGCTTCTCATTCTTCTTTTTTTGCAGTCAACATAGTACTTTTTCCCTATTTGTTATCAGCAAAAACCCACTATCAGCACAAAATGCAAATCCCGTTTTTTTCGATTTCTAAAGTTTCAAGAAACCAGCAACCAGCATCTTGTTCCTTTTTGTCAGCTTTTGTTTATTGTTTACATTCGCCCGTTTTCCTTTATTTTTGGCTCGTATCGCCTTGTATCGCCCCGTCGAACCAAATTTCCTTTTTTTCATGCCAAGACAAATGCCGAAAAGTAATCTCTGTCCGGGAGAGGGCAACTATTTATCTCTCTTTCGTCTTTTTTTCTGCCGTTTTTACTTCCGATAGCATACATATACTTTCAGGTCGGACTCATTACTTCGTCTTGCTTCGGACTTCCATATACCAATATTTTAGGATAATATTTATATTTTTAAGATAATTTATATTATTTAAAGTGAGTTCCTTTCGGATGAAAACCGATATTCTTATTTTGACTCTTTATTTTCAGAATGAAAAAGCTGAAACGAAGACTGTCGGCGGCGTTCCGTCCGGGAAGCAACAACAACGTGAGCATCACCAGCTCTGGAGGCTCTTATTACGATTCAGATTGTGGTAGGTCAAAAAGCAGAGAATGTGATTGATGACGTTGTTGCTAGAAGGCAACTATGAACCGTAGCTTATCAGTGGGAGAATGATTGATTTCTTTGAAGGCAAGGGAAGCACGTGAAGGAAGTATGGGACTGTAGGTGAAAAGATTCAGGTCTATTAAGTTTGAAAAAGAAGAGTTGGGGAAGAAAAACACAGATTGTCGTAGATGAAGGTCCCACAACGACAACGACAACAACAGTAACCTAAAATGATTTTAATTTTTCAGATTTATTATCTCGATTCTCGAGCATTTCAGTCAATTTTTCACTAAAAATAATTCCATTTTCCGACAGTGAAAAAAGAAAAAAATCCGGAAAAAATGATTGATTACGATAGTTGTCGCTGTGGGACCTACCGGCGTTTCTCTTCTACAGCTCCGATTTTTTGTACCAGAAGGATAGCTGTGAACGAATTGTTTTTACAATAGACTCTTAATCGTTGAAAAAAAAGGAAAAAAAAAAGTTTCCGACAGATTAACCTTAATCCTTCTCACTTGAAATGTTTCAATAGAAATTTTCTGGTTTCAGAAGCACGAAACAACATTGTTATCGGCTACGGTATGATGTCGGCACCACTTCACGGACGAACGTGGACACTTTCCGAGTCGATGAGCCATTTATCAGATAAAAACGGAGCAATTATGGAGGAGTGTGTGATCGATCCGACGGCGTTGCTTCGTGTTTCGAGGGGAGGAACTGCCGGTAGACGATACGATACGAATGTGTTAGTCTTTTTTTTTCGAACTCGAGTTTCAAAAAACGAGTCGAATATTTTATCTTATATGCCTTAACAGAAGGGCCCACACTGTAAAGTTTGAGCTAATTTTTCTTGGCTCCTATACAAGATAGCACATATTTCCCAACTGACAAAACAATTCTGATATTATGATAAACAAATTATCAGTTGACTACTTTTCGATATCTTTAACAGGAACCGAGATAAATTGGCTCAAAATTCCTGTCAACTTACTATTAGAGCTCATTTATCTAGATTCCTGTTAAAGATATCAAAAGCTGATCACTGACAAATTACTAATCATTAAATAACCAATATTTTATCAGTCTATACTTTTTTGGTATCTTGAATAGGAATTGAGATAATTAACGAAGCTGAGTAAGATCAAACTTAACAGTGTGAGGGCTCTTCTATTACAGGTTTCATGGTATCTGTGCGAAATGAAACTGTCCTTGTCCTAAACTGATTAATTACATATTCCGAACATTTTTCTATTCTAGCAACTACATCAATGGAATGCACGTCCCTCCTCCACGAACGCACAGTCTCTACTACCCCCGTGGATACAACAACTCGAGTCGAAATTCCTACTACGGATCCAATGCTTGTAAGTAGTTTCCTTTTTGAAGCCGCGCTGTCTGAACACAGAGTACATTTTCATTGTAAATGACCTTCATGTGCCACCACTTGTTCATACAAGTGAATTCACTCACAGCCGAAAAAAAAAGAAATCTTTGAAATGACGCCGACGAACTGAATTCCTATGGGAGACGCTGTGTGATCCGTTCGAATGATAAGCCTCTTCGAAAGAAGCTCTTTCATTGGAAAGGGAATCCTTGCTCATCTTCTCCCTTGAGTCATCCCTCCTTTTCTCGTTTTCTCATCTAAATCTCACTAGTTTTAATCGAACATTATTTGAAAATTGAAATGATTCTGGTTCAAGAACATCTGTCTTCTGGGCTCTCCATGCGGTTAATTTTGATGATTGCACCTGTATTTCGCAGGTGTCCATATGATCCTAATTCACACCGGTTCGAATATTCCCTCTCTTTTTTTCTCTCTATTGTTATTTTTCTCTTTTTTCCAGTTGACTTGTCGGCCACAGCTGGATTATCGCTATATTCATAGTTTTTTGTTGCAAACAAAATAAGAAAATAGGAATCGAAGGTTTCTAAAATTAAATCTAGATTATTGATTATCGAAGAACGAATTCCGATTTTGGAATTTCCAGAAATTCGGAATATTCCAATTTTGAAATTTTCAGAATTCTGGAATATTCCGATTCTAAGAATTTCGAAATCTCGGAATATTTCGATTTCTAAAATTTCGGAATATTCTGATTTTAAAAATTTTGAAAATTCGGAATATTTTTATTTTGAAATTTGTTTTTTTTTGTTTTGAATAATTTGGAAGTATTCCGGTAGGAGTTATCGGGATTCCAATCCGAATATCTCTGGAATTTATCAAATAAGCCTTATCTCTAACTCATAATTTTTTGAGGAGGTCATCTGTTCGGTTAGTTTTTTGTCTACTGCTTCAATTTTTCTATATATTACCACCCGCTGCCTTTATAATAATAAATTTCGAAACATTACCAGTTTCTTCTAGTTGGTCGTCGTCGTTTTAATTTGTCGTCTTTTCTACCCAATTCTTCCCGATTAATCACTATTCTCCTCAAAATTTTCCTACTCCTCCTTGTCGTCCTTCTCCCGACGAACATACTGACAATAGCCAGTTAATTGATACCCACCACAATTTCCGATTGCCCTTTGTCAGTTGTAGCAGATGACACCTCATTGTCTACCTTTGAACATTCAACCTCTCAATTCTTTCCTTTTTTTCAAACGATTTTTTGTTGTTTATGCCCTTCTCACCGAGCAACAGAAACACACGAAGAAGAGGGCCACCAGATGCTGAATCTGCCCTTCCTCTGCATCCTCCATCACAAAAATTTGCTTTGTTTCACTTTCACACTCTGCGATCTCTATTTCATTTGATCTTTACATGTTCTTCGGGAGACAAAAAAAACATTGGAAGGTTATGAGAACCGAGTCAACCGTCGTACACAATTCATTTACATATAAACCTAGGTCTAACCGTTTCGAATCTCAATTTTTTCCCGAGGTATCATGCTTTTTTTTCGAACGAATGCGAACATAGGGTCTTCTTTCGCAGCTGTTAAACATGTGTTTTAATGACGATTTTATTAAAATAACAGCCCATTTAACCTGCATTTCGGTTTCATATATTTCATCTCGACCGACCAAAATTAAGGAAACGAAATGGTTTTGTGTTCTTATTCTGGTACAAAAAATCGGAGCTGTGGAAGATGAACGCCGGTGGCCGAAGATCCCACAATGACAACTACCGTAACCTAAACATGTTTTTTTCCGGATTTCTTACTTCGGTTTTTACTGATTTTTGTCCGTTTATCTGTAATTTCTCCAGAAAAGTGGCGAAATAACTATTTTTGCAGAGAAAAATTGAATAAAAGCTGAAATTCATAGTATGCTTAGGTTACGGTAGTTTTCGTTGTAGGACCTTCGGCCACGATCACCACCACCGGCATTTTTGATGCACAGCTTCCAATTTTCCTTTCACCACAGTTCTGCCCAACTGGGATTCCATAATTCCTCAACATCCGGTTTTCATGAGAGACGAAATTTCCATGAGCACATTTTGATACTTCTAGTGCTCTTGGCTGCACAAAATGTGTCCACATTATTTTTATCCGCTAGATGTTTCTTTTGTTCACTTTTCGTCTTCCCACCGCTATATCTACCCTACGTAAAGTCCATCCATTCCAACCTCAAACGCTCTTCTTTACTTTTTGTCCTTTCGTATTCATCCATCTTGTTTCTTCTGTGTCGAGACTTATCAATCTCAATCTTAAAATAAAGAAGAAGAAGAGGAGGAGGAGGGAAGAGATCCCGTCGTCTTATATTCTTATTCAAGTAATTTTCCTAAAACTATTAGCCTTTGTGATCAAACACCATTCCTCTGAAAGTGACACTTTGTCTTCTTGTCCCTCTGATTGCTTTCCCTCTTTGTACCTCATCCCGACAATCGCTTACGTCCTCCAAAATCCAGCAGCGACACACACTATAATCAGCGTCTCTCTCCTGTTCCGTCTGTTTCTTGCTTCTCCCAGAATGACGTGGCACTTTTCGTCCGTCCTCACCTTCTCTAAGTACCCCCACTTTTGGTGCGCCCCTTCCTTGGCTCCTACTTCACTTGCTCTGTCGAGCATCAGAAGGCGCACATGCGCGGTGCAAATTGTGTTAAGATTTGATTCTCCTGCATATTCTTCTTCTTCTTCTTCTTCTTCTTCTTCTTCTTCTTCTTCTTCTTCTTCTTCTTCTTCTTCTTCTTCTTCTTCTTCTTCTTCTTCTTCTTCTTCTTCTTCTTCTACCACTAGTTTTGTCCACTTTAATGCTCAAATCCGAGAATTCGGATTCCTTTCTCTACTGAAATCACCACAACAATAGCCATTCTTTGTTTGCTAATCGACGTAAGAGGAGCGTCTCCCTGCCGTTCAATATTCGTTAAAAGCGTTGGTCTTGGAGCGGCAGTAGCAGTCAAAAAAGGTTAGGGATTAGGAATGGCAGGTTGTCATCGTCTTCTTCCTTTCTTTTCCTCGTTCCTAGTTGACATCTTCGTATTCCCCACCATTTCCTCCGTCCGAAATAATTCTCAATCGCCCCCGCTCCTTTCTTGATTAGCCGTCATTTCCCCTATCTCGTAATATATACGGATATGTTTTTCGGTTCCTCGATTGGGGCTCCCTAGGAGCAAGCACACAGACAAGAAAGGAGCATTTTTTCCTTCTAGTATAAAATTAATTAAATTTGTAGTCGAGCAGTGTCGAGGAAAGATCCCAAAATGACCAGGTTTTATTCTTTTACGACGCCCCTCCTCCAGATGACTTTAGGAGCCTCATTTTTCATTCATCAACAATTTCATCAACATTGCGGCTTACGGAAATATGTTCAAAAGGAGGTGGAGCACGCATTTCGAATTTATAATTGACATCCTAGGGAGAGGGAGCAAGTAACCGATTTTGCATATGGAATGAATTGAAATCTGGGTAGGGAAAGACAGATGAGAATGAGGAAATGGGGCCACTTGTTTCACAACTCTCATCAATTTCTGATTGATGCTCTTAACCCAATGTCATCCCCCGTACCTTCAGAAGTAATCCCCTTTGCTGCACAAACGGCCCCAGTAACTTTTTATTAGTTGTTCGGTGACTGACCGAGAGAGAGGGGATGGCAAAGTTTACATTTTTGACTTTTCGCGGCATGGGTATGAGCAGATGTTGTGGAACACGGATTGATGTAATAACACAAGTCAATAGCCGGGTGATTGGGTCAACGTCTTCTTGGGTTCTCCTGCTGCGCACAACAGAAGGGCAACAATGTTGACGTGGCAGCAGTTGCTGGGAGAATACGAAAGAGAGATGAGTTCCCTTGTCATGCTACTCCATGACGCCTACTCTTCCGTTCCCTAGAGTGTTCATCACTCTAAAAGTCTAGTTTTTGGACCTTTATTGGTAGTGCTTCTGGGAAAATTTTTTAGAAATGCCTCTTCTAGTTACCCTTGAGCCTTTTGTCTTTTGTATGTTCCAGGAATCATTTTCTGCCACCCCAAATTTTCTCATTCCTCTTTTCGTTCCTCAGAAGTCGTGACTACGACAATAGCGACGGACGACGACGTTGCCAGCCTGGACAAACAAAACTTATTTTCCCAGCCAATAGGGAGAAAAAAAGAAGAAAAATTTTGGAACGTTTTTCGTCTCCTCTCAACAAGTTCTATATCCCAGTTGCTATAGAGAAATGAAGCCGTCGAGCCGGGATTAGTTAGGAATCGGCGAGAGAAGAAGAAGAAGAAGAGCCTCATCGAAAAGAAAGGAAAGAGAAAAGAGAGCTCCTCACCCATTTCCTGCCTCTCTTTCTCGACACTGTGCTCTCAATGGTGGCTGGCCTGCTGCTCTTCTCACCCCTGGCTTACATGATGTCGTTGTTCTTCTTCTCCTTCTTCTTGAAGCCGCCTCCTCCTTTTCCCTCTCTCTACTATTCTCTCTTGCTTCGTAGCACGCCTCCATCCGGCTCTCAACAGTGCTTGTCTGCGTCTCGTTTAATATTCGATGACGAGAGATATCTGCTCTCTCACAAGCTCTCCCGCGCAGACGCCTATATTCATGCTCTCCAAGTTTACTTCTCTACGAAGAAGGAGTGCCTGAGCGTCGTGCTCAGACGACTCATTAGAGAAAGTTATCCAGGGAAATTGGGTTGTTGCCCTTTTCTTTTCTCCAATTATCTTCACATATTCACACTCTTTGCAGGATGCTACACTTTTTTTTTTGAAAATTAACTATTTATTTTTGAGCAAAAGGGCATAGTTTTTACTTATCGCAAAGTTCCCTACAATATCATTCCTTGTATTTCCTTTACAAAATCATCATTAATCTTACCTATAGCCCATTTAAAAAAGCTTCAATGTATTGAAATTGCTCGGAAATCAAGATGGTTTTCAGCTCTGACTCATATGAGGAAGTGGATCATATCCAATTCTCACATTTCTTCTATTAACTCTCTCTCCTGAACCATGTTTTTCCTTTTCCAAGAATTAGAAATTCATCGAGACATACATGATAGATCCCACTCTACCCCGCACCCACCACCGAATCATTTTCGATGCATTCCAAATCTCAGATTTTTTCCTTGTCAAGGTACTCTTTCCCTTTCGTTTTCTTTCCCGTTTTCTCTTCCATGAATTCAAATGACATCTTCTCACATTCAGCCGTCCATCGTGGCCAAGTGCATGAGCGCGTACTCTCCGGCCGATTCGACCGCCGAGGCGCGTCTTTTATCAGGCTCGGACCCTATCTCGGATACTGAAAACCTACTAGATCTCGCGTATGAAGTTGGTGTCAGCGGCTCGTCAGACAACACACGATATGATAGTAGAGAGAGCGAAAATGACGATGACGATGTTGGATGGGAGAGGGAGATTACTGCAAACAAAAGAATGTGCAAATCGGCGACGTTCCATGATTTTTGTGACGATTCTGAATATTCGAGACGACCAGTGACAACACTTCCAGAAGAGGATTTTGATGAAGAGGATGAAGATGAGTTTGAAGACGCAAGTGACCGAAGAGAGTTAGATGACTATGAGGAAGAGGAAGAAGAAGAGGATGATGACGATGAAATAGTCGTGGAAGAGGAAGAAATCGCTGCAGATGATATAGAAGAGCAAGAAGAAGAAGAAAAAGAAGTATCTCATGTTCCTAACGGTGTTTCTTCTCAAACAACACCTTCTGTAGAGGAAACAAAGAAAGGAAAGAATAAGAAGAGAAAAGCAGAGGATGGAATGAGGAAAATGAAAAAGAGTAGCACATTTGCCTCGTTCCTAAACATGTTCGTATCCAGAAGACGTTCCGGAAGAGATTCTGGAGTTCGTGATGGCGAGAGGCTCATGTCTCGCAGCACGTGTATGTTGCGACCCAGCATTTCTTTGTGTAAGTTTTCTAACACTGGTTTGAATTTCTTCCTGAAATCCTTGGAAATTCAATACACAGCTTGATTGCAGAAAACGTAGTAGAAGACGTAGTGACGTAGGTCATTGCGAATATCTTATTATTCGGAATATAGTTTTTAAAAAAACTAAAAAATGATCATGTACTTTGTGTGACAGAGTGTGGGCGCGTTTTGAATACTGAAAATCGGAGCCAATTTGAAAAGAGCAATTATTTTCAGCGGTCGTCCAAGAATCGATGATTTTAGGATCGGATGGAGGGAGTGTCGAGGTTTCGCCGTGCACTTCAGACCAAACGCCGACTGGTGTGCCTCCGAGGTTGGTTTTGCCTCTCTCATACTGTATGGAAACAGTTACATTTTCAGATACATAGTCAACGTTAAAATGCGACAGAAGCCAGCAAGAAAATGGAGTGAGGTATGTGGTTTACTGTAAAACTGTAATAGACCGGCCCCCCACACTGTAAAGTTTGAGCTCAATTATATCGGTTTCTATAAAATATATCAAACTTTTGTCAACTGATAAATTATTTAAATATCATAACATCACCAATGTTTTATCAGTTGACAACTTTTTCATATCTTTTACAGAAATCGAGGTAATTGAGCGAAATCGAGGTAATTGAATTTTTTAACGGTTTGGGTGGGTTTCTATTTGAGGAAATATGGGATCAATTGAAAAAAAACGTTCCCCTTATTATGCTTGTCTGAAAAAAAAGGTTGTGACGCAGAGAAAATGTGTCTTCGTCTCCGCCGTTTGTGTGCTATTTAGGCTCTCCGCTTCGATATCGCTACCGTATTCAGACTGCAAAAAATACTCTCTAACCTTTTTTTCTCAGACAAGCATAATATTTATTTATCTCATCTGAATAAGTTTATGTACGTTTCCAAGCTCTTCTCATTTAGTAATTTCCACTATTCTGAAACCTGATATATTCTGGGTCAACATTAGAGGATGAACCGGAAATTGAACTGACTATGAGAACCATTTGCAAGTTCAAAAACTGAATACGTCAGGCTATTCTTTCTTCTAACTGAAAACTTGTTATTGTTCAAAACCCGTTTCTTTTCTTCAGGAAGAAATTCAAAAGCGACTCTCACTTCCGGCCGATTTGCGTCTTCCGGTCGCAGTCGTCGACAAACTGAACCGAACACCGACATTGGATCAACCACTGACAAGAAAGAATCGAAGAGCATCTCTGAGTGAAATTGGGTTTGGAAAGCTGGAGACGTACGAGAAATTGGAGAAACTTGGAGAGGGGACGTATGCTACAGTATTCCGTGGTCGATCCATTCTGACTAATAAATTTGTGGCGTTAAAGGTGAGCATCAGAATTCAGAATGGGAATGTTTATTCTTTTGGATCAACGTTTTATTTAGTTTTCTCAATTTGTAGTTAGAAAAACTGAAATTCAGAGATTTTGTAACTCTGTTAATCTGAGAATGGAAAATTCCGAAATTTGGAAACTAAGTAATTAAAAACTCAAAAATTCAGAAAATCAAAATTCAAAAATTCAAATTTTCGGATATTCAAAATGTTGAAAATTCATTAACATTTTCAGGAAATACGATTGGAACAAGAAGAGGGCGCACCATGCACGGCGATTCGAGAAGTTTCGCTTCTGAGAAATCTACGACACGCGAATGTGGTCACTCTACACGATATCATTCACACAGATCGGTTATTAACACTTGTAAGTTTATTCCATAAAAATAATTTTAGCTAAAACCCAATATTTCCAGGTATTTGAATATGTTGATCGGGATCTCAAGCAATATATGGATTCATGTAATAATGCGATGCAAATGAACAATATCCGTTTATTCCTCTTCCAACTGTTACGAGGTCTTGCCTACTGCCATCAACGACGTGTACTTCATCGTGATCTCAAACCACAAAACCTACTGATAACTGCAAAAGGAGAACTGAAGCTTGCCGATTTCGGACTGGCACGTGCAAAGTCCGTACCGACGAAAACGTACTCGAACGAAGTGGTTACGCTCTGGTATCGGCCGCCCGACGTGCTTCTCGGCTCCACTGATTATTCGACGCATATCGATATGTGGGGTGTCGGGTGTATTCTGTTCGAGATGATTGCCGGACGAGCTCTCTTCCCCGGAGGAACTCCTACAGAGCAATTAGGCCTTATTTTCAGGTTTGTTTTTTTTTCTTTTTTCGGGATATGAGCAGTTTCTAAATTTTAGGACACTCGGATCTCCTCGACCGGATCGTCATCCTACGATCTGCGAGAAGCCAACATTTTATCCTTATGCGAATCGGCACTACAATCCCGAACCGCTGTGTCGTCAGATTCCAAGGATAGATGCTCATGGATTCGAGTTGTTGATGAAGTTCTTGCAATACGAAGGGAAGGATCGAGTGTCAGCTGCTGAAGCTCTGAAACATCCGTTCTTAAGGACAATAGCTGTTAAGGTAGGTTCTGTTTTTCCATAATTTTCTCTAATTTCCTGTATTCCAGTGTTGTCATCTACGCGATGAGCAATCAGTTCTAGACGCTGAAGGTGTTCATATTGAAAGAGAGCTTCTCGCATCAGATCATCATCATTCCCGTCGTCATCATCGTGGAACTCTTGTCAAAGAGAAGTATAGAATGCATTCCAGTCATCATACATAGGAATAATTACCTCTCCTTCTCAATTTTAGAACCCAATTCTTTATATTGCCCACACCACTCCTTTCCGTTTCTATCTCTCATATTCGTTGAAAATATATACGGGTTTTTGTCTCTCAACCAATTCCGATTCGACTTGTCCCTTCCCCTTTCGTCTGAAAATTCTTTTTCCGCCCTTTTTTCATTTCCGGTCAGCACCACTAAGTAATAAAAATTCTGGCTCCTCGTCATTCCGTTTCAAGTCATATTCCACTTATAATAATTTGTTGTGTAACATTTTTTCCTTTCCATATCCCGATATCATTTTTCATCCCAGAACTGTTCCCGTTGCCCCTGTTACCACAATTCACATTAAATAGCCCGTAATCTCAAAAAGGAATTCCAATTGTCTTCCCGTTACCTTAATTGTAAAATCTGTAAATGAATCTGAAAATCAACTCGAGTCTTTATTATAATGGTTGACAATGTGTGGAAGATCTAACAGGGATGTTCGGAATATTCTGATTTTTCAAAACTCAAATTTTGAATTAGAAATCCCACTGTCACATTTTAAAAAAAACGAAAAAAATAGGTGAAAAATTGACAAAAAGATTTCGAAACTGCAAAAAAAAGATTGAAAATAATTCCGCTCGAGACCCCCAAGGAATTTTTTTATGCACCTTTGAGATGCTGCAGTCCAAAAAGCTTCGAAAAATCGGAAATTTTCGCAAATATTGCGAAAAAAATTGCATTTTCGGAAATTTTACAAAAAAAACTTCAGAATTTTCGGAAAATATGTTTCGAACAAAAAATCACAATTGCAATAGTTTGGTTTTTTCTTTCTACAAAATCTAAAAATTCGGTGAATTCATCAAAAACTTTACTCAAAACAATGAGAAGACAAGCATAATATGCACGAATATGTTTGAGATTGAGCTATATTACTTGACAATGAAACGGGAATTGGTTTCCGGAGAAAAAAAAATGGGGTAGGGAGGAGCATCACAGACATCAAAACGGGGACGGAAAAAAGGAAAATATTATGGTATAGTTACGAAAAATTCACTGGAAAAAATATAAAAAGAAAAGAAGAAGAATAAAACAGATGCACGAACGGACCAAGTTGTTGTACTAAGTTTGGTTATTGTTACCCTGTTTAGCATGGGACCAGGAGACAATTAAAGGGAAGATTTATCAATCCGACCATTCATTTTTGTCGTCTTCTTCTTCATCGTCATCACTCGAATCATCGATTCCCATATTCAGACGCCGTTCTTCAAGTGCCTTTGCCAGAGCACCTGCCAGCCCGCCCATTCCAGCAGCTCCAGATGTTGCACTCTTCCGTCTCTCTTGTTCAGCAGCAGCGTCAACCTGAAATTGTTCAAGTTTCAGATCAATTAGATTTCCTTCCTCCTCAAAACGTACGTGTTTCAGTTGTGCTCCTTGTCGAATTTGAGCCATCACATCTCCACGAGCATCTCCACCTTTTGGTGCATCGTTAGATGAATTCTGTTGTACAGTTCGTAGCTGCTTTCCGGCTTGGATCTCCTGTAATTTCCTTTCTTATGACATTAATAATTCAAAAAAAACTTACAGCTAATAAGTTCGATCTTCCGTTTTGTGCTGGTGGCAGACTTGCGAGGATGTTCCCAGATGGTGGTGGTGGAGGAGGGGGCGGCGGTGGTGCTCCAGCTCCAGCTGCCGGCATTGCCATTGGTGGTGGTGGCGGTGGAGGTGGTGGAGCTGATGTTGATACTTGAGCGATTCCAGAAGCAGGAGGTGGTGGTGGCGGCGGTGGCATTGCATGCGGACGAGTGTCCGGAGTACCATAACTTGGTGTCTGTGGCAGAGGTCTTGCTGGAGCTATGCCTCTATGAGAATTGTTGTTTGATGGTGGTGGTGGAGGCGGGCGAGCTGGTGCCAACCCATGTGATTCTAGCCTTGCTGGCGGTGGGGGCGCAGCCGGAGATGAATAAGAGGAACTTCCGATTGGAGCTGAGGAAGGAAAAGCTGGTCTGTATGGACGAGCTGGAGTTCTGGAAAAGAGGTTGATTTAGTAAAGGAGACAGTAGGAGATTCTTACTGATTCCATGATTGTGGGGCAGGTTGCTGGCAATTCTGCACCGGTGGAAGTGGAGCAGATATTTGAGACGGATCAAGATTCCCAACCGACACATACTTGTCGTAATTCTTTGCGATGAACTTTTTGACAAACTTCTTATCGTCCTCGTTCAAATTGTTGCTTTCCAAACCTGCAGCCTTCAGAATATTCCTCGTTGCTTCATCCATATCATCATCGTACACTGTATTCGAGAAACCACTGTCTTGATTCCAACCAACATGAGCTTTGTGTCTAAAATTATAAGACATGGAAAAGGTCTTACTGTAAGTGGTCTTACTGAAAGTTCGTCGGATTCGAAATGTCCTCCTTTTTGATTTTCGACTTTTTATCCTTCTTTTTATTCTTGTCTTTTCTGAACCATGAACCACCACTGCTGCTAGCATTGCCATCTTCAAAAATTTGAATTTTAAAAGGAAATAATTGTAGGTCAGACCTACTCTATGAAAAAATGTCTTTAATTTATTCATCATATTTTAAGATCAAGTAGTTTCAAGATAAAGCAAGAGTCAAGTAATGAATTACAACTCGAATTTTTTGTGTATTTCACGTGGAGGATGCCTATCAACATAAATTAACTCCAAAATTAGATCTCCAGATATCAGTGTCGGAAACAGAATTATTTTTAAGGGACTTCAAAGAAAAAATTTTGTGAAAAGTTTCAAAGTTTTCAAAAAATCGCTTCAATAAGCAATGAAATCTCAGTTCTCGTCAATTTCCAGAGATGTCCGAAATGACTTTTTTGAGAAACGGAATCCGGAATCCGCACATCTCTGTCAATTTCTGGGAACTTCTGGAAGGTTCTTGAATCTTTTTTTTTGGATTCCCGCGGCAGGAATTCAAAAAAATCTAGAATCGTCTAGAAGTTTGTACCAGAATAATAGATTTACCTATTGTTAGAATATGACTTTACCTGGTTGTGTATGAGAATGCGGTGCAGCTGCCATCGTTCCCATCGGAGTTATTCCCTGCCCTCCACCGATAGTCATCGGAGGTCCTCGTATTGTACCCCCATATGCCTGAGTTATTTCGAACGGACGAGTTGGAGTGGATCCGATTCCTGAAAAAACAAGGATTATCACAAGTTCTTCTTCCCACACATCACAATTGATTCTGATTTCTCACAGTCAAGTACTTTTTCATTTTCGTTTTCTAATCCAATTCTTTTTCAATATTGACTTCATTGAACTCGCTCCATGTTCCTCTCTCACCTCTCTTACAAGCCGATCAAGAGGCCACGATCGACCATTTTCTGGTGCTCGCTGGAGCAACACGACATGAACACAAATAATAGAAATCTCTCCGAAATTCGCACCATCTCAGTCTATATACCAGAGTCGCCGCTGGGCAGCCGTTTGTTTGTTTCCGAAGTATGGTGAAAAACAGTTCGAAATCAGGCAAACTTACGGAACTCATTTGCAGCATTTAGATGATTTCATAGTGGCTCAAAAACCATATCACAGACTACTTAAACAACGTCATTGTTCAAATATTTTTCATGTTGCTAAACTGTATATCTAGAAAATATTCGAAAGAGTCATAAACAAAAGAAAAAGAAACAAACCACTTTGCGAATTGCTGTTCGATCTAGCGTTCAACTCTTTTTGACTCTTCTTCACTAATCGATGCCTTGCAGGTGGATGAGTTGGAATTGGAGGTGGAGTGTCAGCTTCTACTGATGAAGGCGTCGCACTACTACTTTCAGCACTATCACTTCCTCCAGAACAGTATATTGGCTCTTCTTTTTTGACCATCACAGATACTTGTCCATTCGAACCATGAACTAAAACGGAATCATGATGATGTGGTGCAGGATCTGGATTCAATGAAACTGCTTCGTATTCATCCTCTTCGTCTCCAAAGTCATCCGTATTGAACACTTTCATTTGTCTTGATGTTTGATAAGTGTTACTTACATATTCACCCCGAGATACTGGCTCATTCGGAAGATGAAACCGTACTTTGTTTCTTGAAAGGGGTGGTGAATAGTCTGGATCCGGACTCGGTGCTCTGTGTCGTCGTTGTTCTTGATGGTGTGAAGAACGATGACGTGGTCGATAGCTATGAGTTTGTTGTTGATTTTGTTGCTGCTGATGGTGTTGCTGATGATAGTAATAGAAAGCATCAGCAGATATTGGCACGTAGCATCTCGCATAATTGTGTCGTCTTGCATAAGTACCAGTGGCAGATCCTCCATATCTCGTTGAATAGACAGGATCTTGATATTCGGCCGAGGAACTAGCCGAACTTGTAGAATCAGGACCTCCATAGGTAGAATAGTCATTAACATTATCATATTGCTCCATTTCGTAGTAATGTCCTTCGTTCGGAAGTGTATGACTGCTGCGTGGGTTGGTACGTGGGGAGGATCCCATGGAATCGGGAAAACTAAGACATCCGCCACGTGCGAAACGCTGCATATGGCGACCGGAAGAAGTAGACGAATAAATTGGAGCCCCAGCAGCCGATACAGTTGACGGATTAGGCGACGGAGCGGTGGGCGGAGGGAGAGTGAGAGAGTGAGACGACGGAGGCGGCAGACTGTGGTACTGATAGCGGAGACGACCAGCCGGATCCTCACTCACCACCATCCACATGTTCTTATTTTATTCTGGCAAGAAGAAGAAGTTGACCGTAAATTAAAGAAATTATGGATGAGAGAGCGCGATGAGAGAAAATATGGTAAGAGGTGACATTTATGAATCGAGAATGATGCGAAATGAAAGTGTTGGACGGTTTAGGTCATAAGAAAAAGTCTCATAATGACCACTTGGGTGAATACATGGGAAATGAAATGTGTGAGAAAAAGTATGGAAGCTTGAAAATCAGGAATATCGTATTTCCTCTAACAGAAGCCCACCCAAACCATCAATTATGAGCTCAATTATATCTCAAAAATTTGTCAACTGATAAAATATTGGTGTTATTATGATAAATAATTTATCAGTTGGCAATTTTACAGGAATCGAGATAATTGAGCTCAAATTTGAAGGTTAGGGTGGGCAGAGAAAATACGGTATACGACGACTTTGAATTAAGACGAGAAGGGGATAAGGTTTTTTTCGAAGCCGTACGGCTTCTGATTCTTCTGCCGAAAATGATTCTTAACGGATATCGGAGCGAATCGTCGGCTATAATACACATCATTATTGTTATACCGTTTCGCCTCCTCTTCACACCCGTTCCTCGTTCCTCTGCTATGTTTCTCGTTTCAATTGCCGAATCAAATTACACATACGTTGGCGGTATGGCGGTGGCGGCTGTGCCTATTTACATACTGTTCCTTCCCATAGAACAGATGCTCTAATTATCAAAAATTCCAAAAATTGTGGTATTTAGAGAGAGTGAGAGACGGATAAATAGTAAAATTGACCGAGAATTGAAAAAGAGTGAAAAAGGGGTTGAACTGAAGCACTTCTTTTCTCACGAGAGAGAGTTAGGTGGAGTCAACACACTGTGTGCTCTGAACCACCACCTGACGGAAAGAAAAGCAAAAGATGGAAGAAGCGGCAAAAACCATCATCTACAAGACGACAAATTATCCACTCACAGACAGTTTGACTATTGCCATCGTGCTTCTAAGAAGTGTTTTGTGGATGAGGGGAGGAAGTTGACGACTTCGGAAAACGGAAGGAAAAAAGGAGAATCACTGTTTGCTTTCGAATTTCACTTTTCCATTTTTTTGGTTTTGCTAGTTTCTCGAACCTTCTAGAAAGGAGAGGATGGAGAAACGGAACGGTATTATATTGATAGAGATCTACGGATGGGTGGCCTTCACAGTTATTACTAATTGTGTTAATACTAATAGTAATCTACGAGTTACCCTTTGGAAAGGTCTCTAGTATAAATACCAAGATTCTCTGAAAGTTACAATACTTCCGAAGTTAAGGGCCGGGCCGAGTCAAGAATTTAGTTTTTTTTTCAGTATGCAAGTTATCTTTCGAAAAGGCCTCAAGTTTAAAAACGAACGAAATAGTTCCATAGTTCAAAAAAAGGATCACAAGACAGGAAGAATGGATCAAGGAAGGACTTTATTCCCTCCAATCCATGTACTATCTTCTCGTTTTACTCCTTGCTCTCTCAAGTGGCTCTCAGTGCTCATGCAGAGGATGCCGCAGCTCCGAAGTGGCTCGTGTGCAACTCATCGGAACACGTTGAACCAGTGTAGGTCATTCGTTGGAGCAAGATTATCTCGATTTCTGTGAAAGGTACCGGAAATTGGTCAACTGATAAATTGTTTGTCATAATATCACCAACATTTTATCAGTTGACAAAAGTTCTCTCACAGGAATCGAGATAATTTAGCTCAAAGTTCACGGTTAGGGTGGGCTTCTAACAGAGGGAATACCGTATGTTTCAGCTTTTTTCTACGAGGAATGATGATGGGAAATGCAAGAAAATGGAGGAAAAAGTGATTGCAAGCCTTAAGAACGACGAATTTGCCAATAGATTTAATATGCGAGTCTGTCTCCTTCGCTTCCTCCGGGGCCTCCTCAACAAAATAAACAAGAGAAAAGGGAGTTTTCTCTCTTTTCGAGCTTTTCTTGCTTCTTTCCCTCCACCTGCCAACCTTTTCTCATCATCAAGACGACTTAGAAGGGCGGCTTACCGGCGGTCTCGAAAAGAAGAAGAAGTGGAAGCATCATCGGGAGCGATGCGACGACAAGGTCAAACTATTCAACAACTTATGGAATAATGACGAGGGCAGGATGACGGACATGATGATGGTCAAAGGACGCTGTGTTTAGAACATCGAATTATTGTGTTCGAAACTTTCTCGATCCTTCGGAGGAGGGATTACTGTATTAAGGTTGGTCTCAAAACTTTACGAGTACAGCTTAAAAATTCGAAATGGGTTGGTTTCTTTGTTGTTTTGTTTTCTGTTATTTCTCTGCCCAGGACAAGAGTACATAATAGATTTCTATAGCCCAATTAGTTGCTGTTTTCATCTTGGAAGGACGAGACAGGAAAAAACGAATTGACTAGTCCCCGTGAAAAACGTCCAACCGATGAAAAAGGATGACGGGAGAGACAAATCGTCGAATTCGGGAAAGGAGCAAACCCGAAAACGGATCATACGGAAAGAAAAAAAACATAGGAAAGATCGAATTTCTCCTTTTCCGTACAAGAAGAAGAAATCTTCTTCTTCTTTTCATTTCTGTCGTCTCGGTGCTGTTCGAATTCCAGCCCATATTTGTATGGCATAAATGAAGCAAAGAGGTGAAAAAAGCAGCTAAAAGAAATGGGGGACGACGTCATGCTATAAGCGACAAATAGTACAAGTTTAACAGCTTAAGATGAATCAGGAAAAGTAGGAAACACCAAGAGTATACAGTTTGACACAGGAAGGGGGGAGAACGAGCATTTCTTATGCTGCTCGAGAAAAAAAAATAGTAATCGGAACGGCAAATAGAAGAACATCAAGAAGAAAAGAAGACGACACTAAATAACAGCTGAGGAATTTTCCCAAAGTTTATGTTTTATAAGATGGCGGAGCTACGGTACAAAACGTATTTTTTCTGTTAATTTTCGGACATTTTCAGGAGTATGGAGCTCGGCTGACAAGTTTTCGACCACTTTGAAAACTTTGAAGAGGGTAGAACAGACCTAGATTGAAAACATCGCAATCACAGAATTTTTTAAAAATTCCTAGATTTTCAGCTATTGGCCAATTTCTGGAAGGCTCCTGCTTTTTGACGTTTTAGGTACAAAACGGGTCGAAAATGGGTGTCTTTAAAAAATCGGCAAATGGCTGAAAACTGGGAATTTCCCAAAAAATCTGCGAATGCGAAATTTTCAATCTAGGTATGTTTTACACCTTCTGAAATTTTCAAAGTGATCGGAAATTCGATAACCGAGCTCCAGAATCCTGAAAATTGTCAAATGCCTAAAAAACGATTGAAAATAACGTTTTGCATACTTGTGAAATTTCGGCCCGGCCCGCCCGGCCCGGGCCGGGCCGAGAGAAAATTTTCAGGGCCCGGCCCGGCGACCCGGCAGAAAAAAAACAAAATTTTTGAAAAATGAATTTTTGTTTTTGAATTTTGTTTTTGTTGTTGAAAATGAATTTATTGATTTTTAGAATGTATTGAAAAATAACTCGAAGAAAAAAAACACTGAATACCTTTTTTCGAAACAATGATTCAACTTTTCGCTCAAGATTTTGAAGTTCGCGGTAAACTTCCGGGCCGACCGGGCCTCCGGGCCGGGCCGGTGAAATTCGTGTTTCGGCCCGGCCCGGCCCGGCCCTTCACAAGTATGACGTTTTGTATATCTTACGGTCCTGTACTGTAGCTCCGCCTATTTATAAAATATAAACTATTGAAAAGTGCTTCAATTGTTAGTTAGTGAAGAAAGGTAGGATATGGTAAATGGAAAGGCAAAATAAGACTGTGAATATTATCAATTTTTAAAATAAATGGCTGGGGCTATATACAATGATCCGATTCCAGACGACGTCAACACCATCTAATCTCACATAAATCAGTCTTAAAATATAAAAATCATTCTTTCTGGATAAGAAATAGAAAATAAATCAGAAACAGGAGAAGAGAAAAAACTGCTAGACTTCTTCTTCTTCTTATTTGTTGTTCGACTTTTCTTCCATCTTCTTTACTACTCCTCCTCCACCTCATTTCTCATACGATATTCTTCGATTCGCATAGTGAAAATTGACGGTGAGCCAACAAAGTGATACAACTTATGTGAGTATGTGCGTGTGTAAGAGAAAGTAAACTGACTATGTAGATTTTCTTCGGGGGTGGAAGAGCAGTCACTTTTTTTTTCTTTCCGCGCGGAAAAGAGCATACAAGAGGAGCAGCAGAAAAGAGCATACAAGAGGAGTGTGCAAGACGTTTACAATATAAACTCTGACTCGTTTTAAAAGAGCAATCATGTCGAATTGCTAACGAACTGTGAAGAAAGTACAGACTGTGAGAAAATAGAAATGTAAAACAACGCTAACCTGCAGAAGGCATCATGAGCGGCATCCCGGGGCGACCTGGAGTATTTGATTTTCGCTCTTGGGCATGACGACGATCCAGATGCTCCTAGAAGAATTTTTTTTTGATGAGCTCAACACTATCTCAGCGGTATAGAACAAGAGATTCTTTTTAAAAAACCGTATTTTTTTGAAGCCCACCCAAGCCGTCAAGTTTGAGCTCAACTATCTCGATTCCTATGATAGATATCAAAAATGTGTCAACTGATAATATATTTGTGATATTATGATACACAATTTAACAGTTGACAACGTTTTAATATCTTTAACAGGAACCGAGATAAGCTGGCTCCAAATTAAAAGCTAGAGCGGCTTCTATATTAGAGGCATTTTACGGCATTTTTCGATTCCAGACACTCGAATTGAACAGATTCCAAATTTTGAATTTTTTAGATCTTTCTTATTAAGAATTTCAATAGATTAATTTCAATAGATTTGAATCGTCGTCACAATCTATTTGTTGTTGCTCATAAACACTTACCTTGAACTCTGCAGCTTCATATTCGCTGAAAAAATTCAGCCCAATGACCACTCCATCCTCTCCATTTTCCATTTGTTCGAAGGCGAGAAGTTTCCGGCATTGTGGAAAAGACTGTGCTTGAAACGCTTTATACAATTTGAAATCCCAAGCGACTCGCTCATCGAGAATATCGAAAATCCGAAGGAAATACGCTCTCTGTGCATAATCTTTGACTAATGAGACTACTCCGTGTGGTAGCTCGACTCTCCATGATCCTCGATCGGATTTCAGTAACTGAACGACGGCGGCTGTCAATGAAACGGCGTCTGATCCAACCAGTTGAAACAGCATCTCATTTTCTTGTGAATTGAGCTCCTGGAAAATGAAATGGGAAAGAGTCAGTTTAAAGCTAGGGATATTGGTAAACTTGATGAGAACCTTCTGCGAATTTTTAAATTATCAATTTTTGTTATATTATCCTTGTCTGAGAAAAAAAAAGGTTGAGACGCAGAGAAAAAGTGTCTGTGTCTCCACCTTATGTGTGCTATTTAGGCTCTCCGCTTCGATATCGCTACCGTATTCAGACTGCAAAAAATACTCTCTAACCTTTTTTTTTCTCAGACAAGCATAATAGAAACTTTTTTTATTATCAGGATATTATTCTGGTAAAAAAATCGGTGATGTGGAAGAGCCGAATATCCCATAACGACCACTACAGTACTTTAAAAAATATGTTTATTTTCCGGATTTAATATCTCGATTTTCGTGGGTTTTCAGTCAATTTTTTCGACTTTTTAGGGAAAAATAATAAAAGTATTGACGGAAAGCAGTAAGGAGAACATAAATACGGAAAAAAATATTTTAGGTCACGGTAGTTTTCGTTGTGGGACCTTCGGCCATGGCCTCCGGAGTTTTTCTTCCACATCTTCCAAGTTTTGTACCAGAATAATACATTTTTAGAGCTAAGCTTACTCACCCTTGATCCAACATTAGGCGGTCGCTTCGCTTTTCTCCGATCTGCTCCACCATGCATCATGGGAATCGTTGGTGTCGGAGGGTATACCGACATGTCTGAGAAACTGAAAATTGAACGAACTTAAAAGAGCCTTTTAGTGAGAAGAATGTCAAGAAATCAATAGCAGAACAAAGAAATGAGAATGAGTCACACAACACAAAACCTAAATAGACTTTCGAGTTTATTTAATAAGAACTTCTCGGTCGTAAAAGGTAAAAGGATAGCAAACTCTTTCGCATGCTTCTGTTGTTGCACTGAGTGCCTAATGCATGCGTTCTCGTTTTGAAATGTTTAGCCATCACTCTAGACAAACACAAGGAGAGAGATGGAGAGAAAGAGCCGCCGTTTTACAAAATCTGATCGGATGTTTCGATTTGAAACTTGCAAAATGTACTGACAAAGCACCTGACAAAGCAAAACGGGACTTGTCCGACTGAATGAAAACAAGGAAATATCACTACCGGAAACGATAATAGAAGAGAATTAATCGTACTTCGACTAAACAAAAAAATTTCACAGTGAATCATCAGACAGTGTGGCAGTGGAGGTGACTCACTGATAAGTTATCAGTAGAAGAACTTTTTTTTTTAGTTTTTAGAGAATACAAGAAAATAGTACAACTGAAAAAAAAGTTCATTCTAAAATGGTACAGGCAGAAATTTTCGAGTCTAAAAACTTCGAAAACCGAGCATCACCTAAATTTTCAAATTTCCATTCATCATTTTTCTTTTTTTTTTAGAAAAAAACAAGGACATTTAATCCGAAAATTGTCGCTGTGTCTTGTCGACACTTTCTTCAGCAACATCCCCGATCGATTTACTTTTCACTATTTTAAATAGGGTCACTTGGAGACACGAAACAAAAAAAAAGAAAATAAAGGGGCAGTATGAATACGGGAGAGCGGAGAACGAACAGTTGTGTGAATATAATAGCCGAACCGCGCTCGGATTAGAGAGCAGCCCGACAAGGCTGCACGGTCACAGTCCGATGCACATCGTTTCATGCAAACGGAGATTGATACAAACAATGAACAACGATAACTATGAATGTGTGGTTTATTAACCAGCGAAATCTCAATCAATTTACAATTAGAACCTGATGAATTTTATTGTCTATGGCACAAAGAAACCAACAAAAAAATTATATCTTCGATGTAAACTCTCTTCGAAGTGTCTCCCCATGGTCCACCGAACACGTCTCCAATATTTTAGCCAGATTCGGTCGGAGTGCATTGAGTTCCGTGTATCCACCGACAAACTTTCCACAAATGAAGATTTGAGGAACTGTTCGTTGTCGTGTAAGATCCATCAATCCCTTAATGTATTCTTGCGGATCAGGAAACACTTTTGCCACTGTATTGAGATTCTGAAAACGATAGTTGTGACTTTAAAGAAATAACAGCGGTTCTGAAACCTTTTCTGTATAATGAATTCCATCTTCGTACAATTCATTTTTTGCTTTTACACAGTACCCGCAACCATCCTTCGTGTAGAGGACAACAGCATGCTCTTTCACCTTCAAAACAGCTTATAGTATCATTTACACTACTTTCCAGGTTTTACTTCTTCTGCTATTTTTTTGGAGTGTTCCGAGAGCGTCGGTTTTGGTGGCGTTGATGAAGCTCCTCCCATCTATGGAAAGTTAGCTATTCATTTTTAGTCAACTCTCAACCACTCGTTCAGATATTTTTCATATGGCTATGACAGAAAAGAAAATACTAAATCTAGAAATCTACACCGTCACCAAGTCGTTTCATTCTCAATAAATTACAAGACAAGTAGAAGGTGGAATAGGGGGGGGGGGGGGGGGGAAATCGTAGACAATAAATATATCCATATGGGATAATTGGGGCATGCGATTTATAATTTAGCCAGTTATGGGGTTGGGACCATGACGATGAGCACCAGGTGGGGGAAAGGATACATTAGTCTACAAAAGCAAAATTCGTAAGTGGGAAGGTTTCTATTATCACAGTTGAGAATTTGATCACGAGTCATATGAGTAGGTTAGTCGAACGAAATGAGTGGTTGCTCTGCCATCTGCTGTTGTGGTGGATGAGCAGCAGCAACGTTGTTTTGATCTACTGAAAGCTCATTTTCGAATCTAGTGTGGTTAGTCACACACACTTACCATTCCCATAACCATTCTGACCATTAACAGAAGGTTGTTGATACATTTGGCTGGTATGTTCCTGATTTACATCCCCTTGTTGCGAGTATTGCCCATTTTCTACCGGCGTCGATGTTCCTCCATTCTGATAGTTTTGGAGCTGCTGAGGATGTTGTTGTTGATACGCTGAAAGTTTTTGAATTGAATTAGAGTCAAATGTCTAAGTACTCACCTCCTTGTTGTTGATAATTCTGGTGTTGATAGTAACCTTGATATTGTTGTTGCTGTTGTTGGTACTGTTGCTGCATTGAAGGTTGATGTTGATTGGTGGACGTTGGAGGAGCAGCCGGACCATTTTGGAATTGTTGATAGTACTGCTGAGGCTGCGGAGTCTGCTGTGGTGGTTGATACTGAGCCGGCGCTTGCTGTCCTTGTGAATATCCATAGTATGGTTGATGTTGTCCAGGGGGCGGAGCTCCGTATCCCATCTGTGGATTGTAGTATGCTTGTTGTTGTCGACGCATAGCCATCTCTTGCTGTTGTTGTTGGAACCTTTGTAACGCTTGCTCTCTTTGTTCCATCAGCATCGCCTGAAAGTTAATTTATTGAGGTTGACAGGAAATGGGAAAATCTGAAAAAATAACAAAAACTTACATGCTTCTTTATCCGCATCATTTCGAGGGTCTGTTGCATTTGAGCTTGCCGCAATCTTTGTTCCTCAGCCATTCGTTCTTGTCTCTTTCTTTCATGCTCCTCACGCATTTCATCGATAGCTTGTCTTGCTTCTCCGATATTCGCTAGATGATCTTGAAGACCTTCGTAATATCCACGTTGCTCATCAAGAGTGTGCATTCGACTGAGTACATGAGAATGGAATTCGGTCAGTCGAGTGAACAAATCCTGAATTGCAGAATCATTGAACACTGGTCGCCCTCTTGCCAAATTCGATCGAATTCTATTATCCATGACAGACACTTGATCTTTTATCGATTGACACCATCTCATTGTGTCATCAGCTTGAGCTTTCGCATCGTCGCTCACAGAGGTGTTCAAACCGTTTGTGGCACCCAAAGTCATTGCAGCAATTTCGGCGTTCAGCGAGTTCTCATCTGGTCCCATAAGAGTTGAGCAGATAGATGGAGCAATCGAAGGTTCTGATGGTGGCGGAGCAGTTGCGGACAGAGCGCCAACAGTTGAGGTGGCTCCACTCCATTCCTCCACCTTTCCCTCTTTCTTTTGTTGCCAATAGTCTCGGTTCAGATATCTTGCAAGTGGATCGGCGGCAGCGTCATCCGCAGGTGGAGCAGTACTTGTCTCAGCGGCTCCTTTATATCCACCCTGATCGGTTTCTGGCTTGATCCCATTATACATATGATACAGGCTATTTTGTTTTTCCTTCTCTTTTGCTTCTGCTTCACTCTGACTCATAGCAATCGCCAATGCCAAATCCTCTTCTTCTTTCTCTCGCAACAACTTCTCCTTTGCAGCCCTGTCAGCTTCTGAATCTCCGCCAGTACTGACTGATTTCTTTCCAGCCACAGCCGCTGCCAGTTGTTTTTTCAAAGCAGGATACCTTTCCTTGATTTCAGCCACTTTTTTCTCGTAACATGTCTCGCATACACGAACTTCTTTTTCAATTCCAAACTGTGGCAACGCCATCTCTCTTGAGCTACACTTATCGCAGAAAATTTGGCCACATGCTCGACAATGATGCTTTCTTGTGAAAACAGTGAAAATTGAACGGCATCGATAACACTCCGGTCCATCTGCCCATTCCGGTGCAACTTGAGCCATGAACATTGCATCGGCTTCTTTCAGTGAAGGGAAGTCAAATCCAGCAAGTTTCATCAGATTATGGGTGTCCACAACCATTTTATATTCCGGCTTGTTTGCGAACGCAGTCGCCCAGCATTGCAGCATCTCTAATGACTTGTTTTTCACCTGAAAATTTTAACAGGCACGGAGAATTTTTTAAAATTTAAAAATCTAACCTCATCGTACTTGTTTTCGGTTACCAAATTCTTGAAATCCTCCATGAACTCGCGAGTTGCCACTTCTGCATGAACTTTGTGCCCGCAGTTCTTAACGCAGGCATCAAGAACGAGAAGAGTGTGATTGACAACGTGCGGATTCTCATGTTGAAGGCGTTTTCTGATAGCTTGGAGTGATGGTTTTGCTCTGAAAAGAAAGAAAGAAGATAAGGAACGACTATGGATATAGAAACTTACGGAACTTCTCCGGATCGGATCATATCTGTACATGCTATAATTCCTTCCCAGTTGGGTTCAACAAGTGTACTGTCCGTTGCTTGTTCTGAATATTACATATATTGAAATGTTTCATAAAAAGTAAGGACTCACCGAGAATTTTTTGGAATTTACTTGCCATTTTGTGGTGCTGAAAAATAGGTTTTGAGATTGACAGACAGTAGGAAAACGAAGAGGAAGTTTAATTACCGAATGAATTTTTTTAGATATTTTAAAGTTTCTTAGAATACGGAATGATACTTCAGATATTGACCCATTTTTCCTCATGATTATAGGAACACGAACAAGGGGACAAAAGTGAGACGAAACATGATATCAAAACTCGAAAGCACAAAAAATAAACAATTTTAAATTTATATATCAACAAAATCGATGAGGTGTCAAACCAAAAAGATGACTGAAATGAAAAAAAGATGTGTGTTGTGAAAGAATTGATTGAACAAGCCAACGAATGGAGAGGAAAGTTTTCGCAGAGGCGCAGAGACTTGCAAGTCAAAGCGTGAGGAACGGAACTTATAGGCGGCGGCGATAATTTGTCAAGCTTACATTGAAATGAGTAGCTCCGAACTCAAATGAATAAAATATCATACATGAAAACTTATAACAATTGTCTAGATAATTCGACAAGAGCGCGGAAACGCGAAAAGTTCGTCGAAAACGTTCCGACTTCAACGATGCGAGTTAGGTGTAAAGTGAGATGACAAGATAGAGTGAAAGGAAGTAAAAAGTGATGATAATTAACACAGGTTCGGTGAGATTACAACTGGAAAAGAAGGAATAAGGGAATGAATAAGTGGGAAGTTTGTACGAATTATCCGTCTGAGTATTTAGGTCAATAGGCACTCATGTTAATTTACAAAGCTATCAATTCGGCTGAAAATCGAAACCAGCTGGAAACACACGTCAGAAAACGACAGAAAACGTAATTTTTTCTGTTGAAAAAGAACATGCAGGCTTGCAGACCTCGATTCGATTTGTACGCAACAGGGCGTGGAATTTCGTGTTTGCGTAGGTCACCACCGCACCGCGCGCGCGAAACTGCCAAATTCAAAAACTGTCTCAACCTATTCAGCTTTCTTTTTTTATTGCTTTCTTCTACTTTTCTGTGATTCAAATATTCTGATTTTCGGTGTCTGAAAATGAGCGCCACTGAAACGTCGCTCCGGGTGGTGGTTCGAGCTCGGCCGATGAATACTCGAGAAACGAAAGAAGGGGCTCGCCGATGCGTTGAATTCTATGAAAACACAGGACAGGTTAGTAACGAGATGTCAAAATCAAGAAATTTGGGTGAACCTGGAGTTAGAGGGGATGCCTGCTAAATTCACATTTTGATGACAATGTGTCTATTATTGAACTTTAGAAAACGTCACCTGAAAATCTCGCGGGCGGCTACATCTGAGGTTGCCTAAGCCTATCAGTTGCTATTATTTCAATTTTTTTTTTTAACGAGTTAGTTTTTCAGTTGGTTATCAACGATTCGGCGACGTTCGCTTACGACTCGGTATTCCCGGACACTGTTGATCAGGAAACAGTCTACGAAAAAACTGCTCTTCCACTTCTCGATCGCATTTTTTCAGGTTAGAAAATCGTTCCCATAAAAACGTTCCAACCTAATATTTTCAGGTTTCAATGCTACGATTCTCGCCTACGGACAGACTGGAAGTGGAAAAACATACACAATGGGAACCGAAGACAACGATGGCACGGACGAGATGCGCCGTGGTATCATTCCGCGACTCGTCAATGCTCTTTTCCAACGCATTATGGCAACACAAACCCCAGAAGCATTCACAGTCACTGTCTCAATGTTCGAAGTTTACGGAGACAACGTCTACGATCTTCTTCGTCCGGACAAAGTCAAATTGAACGTCCATGGAGATGAAAAGAATTGTACGATTGTCAATCTTACTGCTGTTCCCGTTTTGGATTTGAAAGGAGCTCTCAAACAACTGGCAACTGGATGCCACTATCGAACCAAAGCGGAAACTGCAATGAACGCAATGTCCAGTCGATCGCATGCTGTATTCACTGTTTATGTTGAGAAAACAGCTACTCCAGAAAGTGACAGCGCCTTCTCTGCTAAACTCCAGCTTGTCGACCTTGCTGGATCGGAAAGACTCAAAAAGACGGAAGCGGAAGGAAACCGGATGAAGGAAGGAATCAATATCAATGCCGGACTTCTTATTCTATCTCAGGTTATTGCTGCTCTTGCCACAAAACAGAAACACATCCCTTACCGTAACTCTGTCATCACTCGTGTCCTACAAGATTCACTGGGAGGCAACTCCTTCACTGTGTTTCTTGCCTGCATTTCTCCTGCGGATACCAATTCTCAGGAAACGCTGAACACACTCCGATACGCTGATAGAGCCAAGCAAATTAAGAACAAGCCAATCATCAATAAGAATCCTAAAGCCGAGGAAATCGCAATCCTTCACGCTCTAATCAAGCGCCTTCAACAGGAGAATTCGGATTTGAAGCAAGGGATTGCCCCTTCAGACGGCAAGATCGGCGACGTAGCGAGTTCTACAGAGATTATGGTGTTGAAAGATGAAGTCGCTCGGCAGACCGAAGAGTTGAGAGAGCGAAGAATGAAACAATCCGAATTCATTGTTAGAATGGTATGTCGGAAAATGGAGATCCTCACAGCTATGTAGAACTTTTCAGAATCACCTCGCCCAACGGAACGCTCGTCTTGAAGCGGAGAAGGAAAAACTGAAGAATATGGTAGCGGACGTTCGGACAACTCTTTTGAACGAGGAAATGATGGATTCTGTGGAAATCGTTAGATCTATTCAGCAAGTCGTTGGAAACTCCGAAGATTCTACTACAATCCAAGAAGAAGATCAAGACGAGACAACGACTGTTGGACCGGCAGCAGATGACACCATGTACGATGCTGAACGTCTTCCTGAACTACAAGCCGAGATCGATGATTTGGACAAACAGATTGCGATGAAGGATGAAAATCGGCAGAAGGCAATTGATGAGCAAAGAGAGTTCATCGAGGCAATTAAGCAAAGAGAGTCGGAAAAAACTCAATTGGTTGTACGGTGTGGCGAACTCGAAACTGAAATCAACAAGCTCCGTCAAGAATGCAAAAAGGCGACGACTGCTTCTAAGCTGGCTGAAGAGAGACGTCAAAAGTTGAAGGAACTCGAACGGCAGCATGCTGAGGACAAGAAGACACTTTCCGAGCTCAAGAAACTGCAGGAGACACGACGCAAAATGGAAGATACACTCAAGAAGACAGAGGATGAGCTGAAGAACTTGAAGACACAACGTCTCCGTCTTCTACGCGAACAACGCGCCGAAGCATCCAAGTTCCAAGCATTCAAACAGAAGCACGAGAGAGAAATGGCTCAGATCAAATCGAAACTCCAGAAGAGAGAGATGGATGTTGTTCGACAGAAAAGAGTCGATGATCAAAAATTGGCTGTTCTCCAACAGGTACTTTTTCATATTTCATCAATTTCGTACTAATGACTATTCACTTTCAGCGTCTGGCTGAATCTAACCGAGCAAACAAGACTCTCCGCGAGCTAAATCTCAAACGTGCCAACAGAAAAGGATCGACTACTGATGCAACTGCCATTCAGGTTAATAGTAGAACTCGCAATCGTTTTGTAACAAGCACTATCCCTCAGAAACCCCAACAGAAACATTTTGCGCGCGCTTTTCGTTAAATACCAGATTTTTTAAAATCAATTTACCTTCCCCACACTGTATATTGTATGTATATAGGATACTTGCCACACTCACCTAGTAACATTTTAATAATCGGTGTTTTGTCTTCCCCTGTGATCCATTTTCAGTTTTCACATGAACATTTATAGATTTCTGCTTTTAAATTTTCAAAACACACTAGAAATCTGTGAACACACTTAGAATTTGATTTATAGGTCTAAAATGTTGGAGTCAGGGCCTAGGTTGATAATGATTATCATCAAATTACATTTTCACAAGTTTGTTTTCCAGAGTCTCATCGAGGACGAGTTGGAACTCGAAATTACTGCTCAGCGTTGTCAACTGTTGTGTGCCGAGCTTCGTCGGCAGAGACAGGACGTGATGAAACGCATCAACGAGATGGAATCGAAAAAATTCGAGGGATCAAAGAAGGTAGGGAGAATCACTAACTGGTTTAAACTGAAACACTTATATACAGTAAAACCTGTAATAGAAGGGCCCCTAGTTTTTAACATTAAGCCAAAATTTCTCGGTTCCTTTCAGAGAAATAAAAAGTTGTTAATTGGTAAGTTTTTTTTAATCATAATATCAGTATCGTTTTGTCAGTTGATACATTGCTGATATCTTGCAAAGGATCCAAGTAAAAATAGCTCAACTTTGACAGTATGGGGGGCCTTCTATCACAGGTTTTACGGTAGCCTTTGTTATTTTTGATGTTTGGAATATATGCATGTTGTACGGCTAATTTTGTATACTTGTCCTATTAACTGCATGTCTTTTTGTGTCTGTTCAGGTGTGCCGTCGTTATGCCAAAGCACGACGTCAATGTGGTCGTCTTGATGAATCCATGCATTTTGACGAAACGTTCACAAAGTTCTGTGACCATTCAGAATGCGAAGAGAACGCAGATGATTGTCAGAGTATGACGGATACTATGGAGTGTGATGACGTTCGTTCTAACCCACCTTCACTAATTTCTTATTTTTCCGCTAATTTAATAGTTTCGTCAGACATGTCAAATTTTTCAGAGACGGATGTCGAATGTGGATCCAGATGTTTCAATCGTACTCGCAGGTGAAGAGGAGTTTGAGGAGAATCGTCAGAAGGAGTTGGCTTCACTTCGTGCTTCTCTTGATACAATCAATGAGGAAATCAAGGATTCCCTGCGCAACGAGACAATCTCTGGAAGTGAAGAGAGATCTGCATCGAGATGGGAGAAAGTTCCAATTGAAATGCGTCCAGTTTTTGAGAATATTTATTCTCATGCTGTGAATCACATCCGGAAAGAATTGGATCTGGAATTCAAATTGGTCAAGACGGAGAATGAGTTCACTGCGAAGATAGCTACCAAAGCATCCCAAGAAGAGAAAAGAAAGAGAGAAGAGGAAGAGGCGAAAAGCAAAGTCCGCGAGTTGCAAAGTAGTCTTGAGGCAGCAAAGGCAGACTCACACGAGAAGATCAAACTACTTTTGGGTCTAGTCATGTCTGGACAGGTTGACGAAAAAGTCATTCAACAGTTCGAATCGCTCAAAAACCAATATTGTGATATTGAACAGAAGGTCAAGAAATTGGCGAGAGTGAGTTTTGTTATCTTCAGAATATTCTCAACTGGGCTTAGCATCTCATCTGGGTTAAGCAGAATGAAAATATTCTACGGCGCTTCCAGATCGTTCCTTTCTCATGATTTATCTAATTTTTATCTATTGTCGAATTAAAAAAAGTGACACCTGAGAATTTGAAAACTTTTGCTTTTTTTGATCTACGAAAAAGTGCGGCAAAAACGTAATATTTCAGAATTTCGGCTCGTTCGAGCTAATTTCGCGTTTAAGTTTAGTTTTTTGCTGAAAAATAGTTTCTAGAGTTGCTAGCGATTCATACCAAGAAATCAATATTTTGTTCAGAAAATCCCACTAAATTCACAGAAATACATTTGTTATCTACAATATCCGTTTTCGCTCCGCCCCCTCGTAAATCGACACGAGCGCCGTCTCCGAGATTTTCAGGTGTCACTTTTTTTTAATCCGACAATAAATCTATTCAGCGTCGTACAACCCACAATAATGGAGTGCCTTTGACGGGTCTTACACCGAAGCCCGAACTCAAAAGAAATGAGCGCAGTCGTCGTGCCGTTGATCACTATGGAAAAGTGGTGAACTCCGAAGACGTGACGATGGATGACTCCAGACACTTCCGTTCAAGACGTGCCGGCTCAACGGCTGCTGAGTTGAACCGAACCACGGATGAAAACGTTAGAAGGTATCAAAACGTCACTCTAATCTTTATTTCATTCGTAATCTTCCAGAAAAGTGGCCATGTCTCCCATCAAATTTGACGATGACACTCGTCTTTCTGGTGTTGAAGAAGATATGGAAAACATGGATGACGGAAGCTTGAACAATGGTACTTTTGTGAAAAGCATCGCACAAACGTCGGTTATTCAATTGGAAGCTGACTCGTCAACAATGGGAGAATCCAACAAAACATTTGTCATAAGCAGTGATGTTTCTCAAGATGCCGTCTCTTCAGATGATATTCCACCAATTCGTCGCAAGCATCGTCGTACGGGACTTGGTCCAGCTCTCTAATTTTTTGGGAGTTCTTAATTATTTTGAACTTTTTTCTTTCATTGTACAATGCTTGATTTGTTCCCCCGCCTGTTCCCAATTTTTACCTTCTAACTCGATCTCCATATGTCTGTCGAATAGTATTCATTTGGTGTTCTTCAATCTGTCTAACCACCTAGCACCTTCTAAACGGTCCCCGTGTTATCATATCTATTAGTTTATGGTTTTTTCTTATGCGAACACCTAAACTAGTAAACAGGTGCACTTTTTCTATAAAATAGTTTTTACAACTTTAACGAATTATGGTTTTGAGCATTCAAAAAGAAAATGAAATACATTTGTACACTAGCTTATTTTGCCCGAAAAATGATAGGTTCGAAGTCGTATTTATACCGAACCTAGATTGATGATGCGACGACTGCCTAATCGGCGGACACCAGGGTCGACTTGGTTCAGTTCGATTGAGTAAAAATTGAATATTAAAAGTCGACCAAATGTTTCAGAACCAGTTGTTACGCAAACGCTCGAAAACTACCGGTTGCAAAATGGTCGGTTCTTAAATATCGGATCTGAAAAACGAATCACAAACATTGAGAAAAGAATTCCGGAAAATTAGAATCTTTCAGGTTACTGTATTTGTCTCTTCCACATCTCTGTTTCGTTCATCAGAATAAAAACTGAAAACTGTACACTCTCAAAATATCTGAATCATTTTTCCAATTCAGTAGCTGACTCCGCCCACTTGGTGTGCTTTCTTTCGTTAACCTTTCCCGGTTTTCTCTCTCATTGTCTCTTTTCCTCTTCCTCGCTTTTTCCCTCTTCACCTCGAAATTGCCAATCGAGAAACACAATTTCCTGTATTTCTCTATTCGAAGTAGAATTTATTGTCTAATTGACTACTGAAACGAGATTCGGAACGAGAAGGAGAAGTAAAAAAGGAATAGGAGAGATGCTTCAATGCGATTTGGCCTCACCATGAGATCACTACTTTTGCTACTGTATTTTTTACGTTTTTCCAGCTCTATAGAATTTAAGTAGGTGTTTAAAAATAAGCTTTATCAAATCAGCTGCTGTAACAATGCTTGATATAATGAAATAACCTTTAAACCTGTAAGAGAAGAGCCCCAACCTTCAACGTTGAACTTATATATCCCATTCTCAGTGAGAGTTATCAAAAATTGATCAACTAATAAGATGTTGTGATATTATGATAAAAAGTTTCGTTGATATCTTTTCTATATCTTTGACGAGAACCGAGATAATTGAGCTTAAAGTTTACGGTTTGGGTTCATTAAAGTAAATACATTAGATTTCGTTTCGAAAAAATTCAATTAAAAGGAAAGTTCCAGAATTTTCGATGATCTCCTAGAAGTTCGAAGTCAAACGGGGTTCTTCTTCCCATTGTGTTCCAAATCATTCCATCAGAAATACGGCGAACAAGCGTGTGCATCCATCTCCAATACATTTTCGTCATATTCTGAAATTCCTCTTCAACAATATACATATTCCATCGGATGCACATCTTCCATATGTTTCACTTTTCTATCAGCGTTCTGTAAAACTGGCATCAAAGTTTTCTGCTCATCCAGCTGTGAGTCTCGTCTATCGTATACTATAACTTTGAGTCCGACATCTCTGTTTCTGTAACCGATATCAAAAAGTGGTCGACTGACAAAACGTTTATTATAGTATTGACAACACTTTGCCAGTTGACCACTTTTTGATATCTTTTACAGTAACCGAAATAAATTTTCTCAACACTTCTCTATATTACAGTATGCGCTCCTGGAACTCTTCAAGTCGGCAATAAATGTCTCTCAATTTCCACAGTTCCTGTTCAAGGGTATTCAGAAGCAAAGGATTACTGTAGTCCATATTCTCTTATTTCCTCACTAAAACCATCAGAAATCGAGTCGATTCGAGAAACCATTTTGCCATCGTTTAGTAAGTAAAAATGCCCTTTTCGGCTCACCGGAAAGTGAAAAAAGATTATTTGCTCAACTGATTTTTGTGCTGTTTATCGTTTGAGTAATGGGTGACTACGTGGCACTTCCTTCCACTGTTTGTTTGCTTTTTAAATGACTGATCAGACAAGAGAAAATGACCCAATTAGATATATTTTTACAGCTGATACACGATCCTTTTTGACATCCGGTCTTCGGCAGGGATCCACTTGGAAATGGGGAAATGGGGATACGGTAGAAGTGAGTTGGGGGAAATTCGAATTTTTAAATTCCAGAACTCCAGTTTGTAAACTATTCTGTAAATTCCGAAATTTTAGTGTTTTCTGGTAATTTCAAAATTACAGTTTTTGGAATTTTTCTGAAAATTATGAATTTCCGGGTTTTTGAATTTTCTGGAAATTCAATATGTTGAATTTTAGAACTTCCGAATTTCCAGTATTTGGAAGTTTCTGGAAATTCCAAAATTACAGTTTTTGTACTTTTCGGGAAATTCGAAAATTTTAATTTCGGACTTTTTTGGAAATTCCAATCTCTGTTTTTTGGACTTTTTTGGAAGTTCCAAAATTACGATTTCCAGTTTTTTCTGAAAATTCAAAAAATTCGAATTTTGGTTATTCCGAATTTCCAGTTTTTGGACTTTTTTGGAAGTTCCAAAACCTTTGTATTTGAACTTTTCTGGAAATTCAAAAAGTTGAATTTGAAATTCCGAATTTCATACTTTTGGACTTTACTGGAAATGCATAGTTTGGAATTTCGAAAATTCAAAATCAAAGTTTTCGAAACCTTTTCTCGAAATTATATATTCCACACTTTCAGCAAGAAATTTCTGGAACTGGTCGTTGCTTGGCTTTCCAATCAGGCGTTTTAGTCGCATTTGATTGTGATACTGAAGCGTACGTATTTTGTGAATCTGGAAGAGAATGTGTTGGAAGAAACACGGAATATTCTGGAACATCTAATCGAACATCGGATGGACAAGGATGTCTTATGTGGAATGATCCGGCTGTTTTGTTTCAGAGAGACTCGGATTTCGAGATTTGGAATCACAATTTTTGTAGATTCATAGAACAGGATGGAAGGTAAAGTTTCATTCTATTCAGATAGAAGATAACAATATATTTTCACTTCTAGAAAATCCCCAACCCCTGTCTGTTATTCAAAACCTCATCAACTATCAGAATGCAATATTCCGAATTGTCCTGAAAGTTTGAACGATGCGATTGTCCTGGAAACAGGAGATAGTTGCCCAATCGGCTCATTTTCGTGTGATAACGGATCGAAATGTATCTCCGAGAAGTTTCAATGTGACTATGAAGTGGATTGTAACGACGGGTCAGATGAACAGAATTGTGAAGATTATCTTCAGAATTATGAACTAATTGGTGCTTATCGATTAGCTGATAGTATCATAGAAGTCTGGACATTTATTCCTCATGTTCAAGGGGTAGGATTTCGTTACTCATAGATTAAACGTTGACTTTTCTAGGTCATGAATTCAAATGCTTTCTGTCATAACATACCGTACTTCCAAGCCCACCAAAACCGTCAACTTTGACCCTAATTACCTTGATTCCTGGCAAATTATTTATCATAATATCACTAATATTTTATCAGTTGACAAATTTTTTATATCTTGCACAGGAATCAAGATAATTGAGCTCAGTTGACGGTATGGATGGGCTTCTATTGAAATAGGTAAATAAATCAAAAAAATATTTTCTTGTTTCCAGTGCGCTCGAAAATGTCGCGAAAGTCTTCTGATGTGTGAAGCATTCTCCTATGAGCCAAAAACGCAAACATGTCTTCTGACGGACACTTCCCAAACATATTCAAGTCTCGCCCGAAAAATCACATCATTGTATTATCGACGTCGTTTCTCTTCAAGTTTGTGTTTTATAATAATTTTTCAAAAAAAAAACCTTCAAATTTTCAGAAGACGTGACGTTTGAGGTAGAAGAAGATACAGTTATGTATGCGACAAAAAACTCGAAAAAAGGTCAAGTGTGCAATGAGAATTTTAGCAGAGAGAAGCTATCATCTATATGTAAAATACTAGGATTCGGGTGAGTATTAATTGGTGTTGATTGTATTCATGAAGATTTCGCGCTTCAAGGCTTAATTTAAGGGTCCCATAAATGATTTCATGAACCCATGAAAAAAAACTTTCCCATTAAGAATTTTATGGTCCTATGTAAGAATACGGTCTTACGAAGAGTTATTTGAATTCCAAAACTTTGCATTTAAACATGAAATTTTTCATAGGACCGTAAAGTCTCCCAAGGGGCCGCTATTTTCCAAGGGATCGCAAAGTTCTCCATGAGAACGCTGCTTTTTCATGGGACCTTTACTTTCTCATCGGATCGTAACTTTTTCATTGGACCGTGAAGCCTTTCAGGGGACTACTACTTTATCTTGGGACAATGCAATTCTCAATAATACCGCTTTTTTTACATGGGACCGTAATTTTCTCATTGGATCGTTATTTTTTCCGTAAAAGAACCGTAAAAGTCATAAAAATCAAAAGTTTTTTAAACATACAGCTGAATCTTGAGACTTGTAAAAATCACATTCAGTTATCAAACAAAAAAGGAAAGATGTATTGAAGGGAATTATTGAAATAAAATAATATGTATGTGTTATGATGGAAGGGTACAAAAAATCCGTTTCAGTCACTGGGCCTCGATTCCAGAATGGCTTGTTTGAACGCAAGAAGATCCAATTTCTTCACTAAAGTGTCCATGTTCTTCTGCAAGTAGTCCGTTGTCGGCTGAAAATAGTTTTGAGAGTGATTTTTATTTATTTTTACGAATCCTCACTTTTGAATAGGAGGTGGATGATGAGGCGGAGGATGTGGATGATGCTGCACGAACAATCACAGGGGGAGTGTGAGCAGTGTGGGAGAAGCGGAGTTTCGAATGTTCCTGGAATTGAAAGTTTTTGATTTTTTTAAATTCTTGCAACTCACTGAATAATCAAGACCTGTGAAAAAGTTGACAATGACATTTGTGTTGAGTCCCTGATAGAATGCAACTTCACCCACAAACTCCTCCTTTTCTCGCGATTCTCGAGTTATAGCCATATTGGGATGCATCTGTAAAAATATCAGAATTCAATTTTCAAAACATCTCCAACTCACCCAATATACATTTTTATAGAGACCCGATTTATATTGTGGAATCACATCCAACCGAATTGTTTTTGGAGCGGGAGTCTCTGCCTCAGTCTTCTGCTGATTCTTCTTCTTCCCGCCTTTCTTCTTCGCTTTATTCCGGAAGACCGGTGGCGGCTCTTCGTCTGCCGACCTGGAATCTCTCATGTTTAAGAGAGCCCAATTGTACATCAACTATCGTTTCTACGTGTCAACCATCAAGTGAGTCTTTAATTGTTATTGTGGTACAAAAAATCTGTCGTTAGTGGCCGAAGGCACTACAACGACAACTACCGTAACCTTACATAGTTTTATTTTCCGGAACAATGACAGGAAATTCGACGAAGGACGAAACCGAGAAAATGAATACTAAAAATAAAAATATTTTTAGGTTACGGTAGTTTTCGCTGTGGGACCTTCTGATTCTTTTTACAAGGATAATATGTCACATACCATCTTGTTGTTAGATGACGATGTCGACGTTCATCAAAATGAATCATCGATTCACCACGTTCTCCCTGTGTGTTTTTTATAATGAAAAATTGCAAAGATGGAAAATTATGGAACCACCGTGTAAACGAGAATTTAAAGTTCACGCGAATCTATTGCTTGTATAAAACATAGAAGAAAAAACTATGTGGGCGTGGCTAACGGTCCCCGTAACGAAATCTACCGTAACCTAAAATAATTTCGGCAATTTTTGTGTTGAAAATCAAAGTCTAGAAAATTGCCGAAAATCGAGAAAAAAAGTATTTTCTAACTTCGGTATTGCGGCCATGGCCGCTGCCATCAGATTTTCTCTTTCATGGCTCTGATTTTTGCACAACAGCGTTACATCACAGGTGTTCTCGTTGCCAAGAAGCTGCATGTGGAGATGGATCTTGTATCAGGTCCCGTCAACTTTGCGATGGATCTATAGATTGTAAATCAGGTGACGATGAGAGTGATTGTACGGCAAGATCCTTCCGATTGACGAATGGATCAGACACTCGTGGATATTTGGAAGTTCTATTTCGAGCTAAATGGGAGCCACTTTGTGCGGATCATTTGGATGGGAATAGAGCAAATTTGATATGTAACGACATGAGATTGGGGTATGAAAAAGTTGATTTTCAGCTCTTGATAATATGATTTCAGAGAGCATGGGTCTCTTCTCTCAACAAATATCTCTATTTCCTCTGGATTCGACGTTATCTGTGGTTCTGAATGCATTCTCCGTAGATCATCTTCTTGTACCCGTCTAGCCAGAATCTCATGTATTTCTCAAAATGGACTAGCTTCCGTTTCTCAGTGCGGTCATCGTTATGTCGAAGTCAATGCTCGGGATGCAGCTAGATCTCGGATCGCAAGAGTTGTCGGAGGGTTCGAAACAGTTCCAGGGGCATTTCCATGGACAGCTGCATTAAGAAATAAGGAAGTGGGTTAAAAATTAAGGATAAATGATTTGAAGCTTGAAAAGTTTCAGACAAAAGCCCACCATTGTGGAGCATCGATTCTTGATCGAACTCATTTGATAACAGCTGCGCATTGCTTTGAGTAAGATTAAGACCAGTTAGCAGTTATATTAACTGAATATTTTCAGAGAAGATGAAAGAGTAACCTCTTATGAAGTGGTTGTTGGAAATTGGGATAATAACAAAACAGATGGAAATGAACAAGTGTTCAATTTACAGAGGATTAACTATTATCCACTTTACAAGGGTATAATTAAATTAGATTAAAATGGGCTTTCCAATTAACGCACCTTTTAATTCCAGACATTTTCTCACATGACATTGCTATTCTAGAAATCCCATACCCTGGAATAGAATTCAATGAATATGCCCAACCAATCTGTCTACCTTCAAACGATTTCATCTACACACCAGGAAGACAATGTGTGGTTTCTGGATGGGGAAGTATGGGACTTCGTAAGTTTTGATTCATTTTTATAGCCCCACAAAAATACCATATTCAGATTATGCTCAACGTCTTCAAGCTGCTCTAATTCCAATAATCGATCGATTCGATTGTGTAAACTCATCTCAAATCTACACTTCAATGTCGAGATCTGCATTTTGTGCCGGATATCTGGAAGGTGGAATCGATTCGTGTCAAGGAGATTCTGGAGGTCCGTTTGCTTGTCGTCGTGAGGATGGAGCATTTGTTTTGGCGGGAGTTATCAGCTGGGGAGATGGGTGTGCACAGAAGAAACAACCGGGTATTTATACTATGGTGGCTCCATATCTCTCATGGATTAATTCAGTTGTGAATGGAGGAACTAGGTAAAACATTGATAAGATTCGATATATTTTTGGTGCTTGTATGTATTCTAGATCTCATTTCTTTTCACAAATAAATGTTTATCTGACCAAATATGGATTCACTGTTATTACAAGAAACAAATAAGTTTTCACAGAGTTCTTTGTCTGAATTTCAGACTCTGAAATCAGAAATTGGAATTGATGTTTCCATTGGTAGGTTGTCCATTCTGTGCTCCCCCTCCTCGATTCATGTATTGAGTATGTGGACGAGGAGTACGACTGTATCCAGTCACTGGACGAATTCCTTCTTTGATCTCCATATCTTTCATCTTTCGTTTCAAAACTGCTTTCTTCTCCTCGATTATCTTCTTCATCTTCTCCTCCAAAACACGTTGACCTTGTTTCGTTTCTCGGTTGAACTGAAAAGAATTTATGTCTTTAGAAGTATCAGAAGGACAGATCTCTTACCGAAGATTTTTTACTAACAACCAAACTTCTAGTTTTCTTATTCGTTCCAGTTGGTCGAGAGTATTTCAAAAGATACTGGTGGCGTTCTTTTGGGCTCAACGACAATTCTAACATCAAGATTACTTGGGCTCTCTGAAAAATGTAAAAATTATTTATTCATGGAATTCGGAGGCTTTTACCTGTCTCTTGTACTCCAATTGTGTCTGAAAGATGGTTTCGTATGTCCGGGTCATCATGGCAATCAGCATATTGAACTGCATAATACTTACAAACAATTCGAAAGTGATAAAGATACCTGCAATTAAATTTTGGTTTGTTTATATTTTTGTTTCTCTAGGTATACCTTTCCAATCCAAACCATAGTATTAGCTGGGCACAATGCAAGATTACGGTAGAGTACTGTGAATTCCCCGATGGTCAAGATGAATGTACGGACGAAAGCTTCAATTGGAGACTGGATGACGTTTTCGAACGCCTCCGCATTTTTGACAATCTGTGATCATTCTGCTAATTTACATTTATTTTCCTAATAACTTACAGATGTGTCATATGCAGTTATGATGCTGGACTGATTCACAATCAATGCTTTGATGGTGTTGGCCTCTCGTTCACACGACAAGAAAATAAGAGAAAACGCTTGTGAGAATCCCATCAAGAAAATTCCATAAATCAGCATGAAACGGAAAATGTCAGTGGCAATGATAGTGTAAACCATCAACACGAATGGTCCAACGAATCGAATGACTCGACAGTAGTAGAGATAATGAACTGTCGTGAATATCATTGTCACTGTTACCAGAACGTTATCAATAACCAGAAGAATGGGAGAGAACTGACAGGCAAGTCGGATTGGAACCATGGCAATAACAAGGAAGTATGTCACTTTGAATGTTATTTTCGCAGGGAAAGCTGACTGAAATTCACATGGTTTTTCGGAAAGCTGACTTATTTTAAGTCGTTTCTGCTAGAAAAGAGTTTATTCCTATTCTCTCATAGTCAGGAAGTTTTGATGCTATCAGAAAAGTTTACAGGGTGGCGAATGATTTACCCGGACTAAAGTTTGTACTAGAATAAAAACTGGAGTAGAGCTATGTACTTGATTCAAATTCGGAGAGCGAAAATTCAAGTAATTCATCGATAAAGTGGCCAAATTTCATATTATTTGATTAATTTTGAGCTGAATTATCGCTTGTCGAAGTTGCTTCATCTCATAAAAACCACAAGAAGCATTACACCGTTCATCTTTGGAAAATCATTACAATATCAAGACTTGAGAAATCTCTTTGAAAATTTTAGTAGCATCGAGTCAAACGTAAAATTATATTTCTACCAATTTTTGTGCTTCAAAGATACTGTCTAAAGATATGCCTGTTTTTATCAGTCCGCCTAATGGTGCGCCACCCTGTATTAATTACTTACCAGAACAGTCCACCATTTCTTTCTTCCAATTCTTTTGATGTCACGAAAATCGAGAAACATTTGTATGATGATTCCAATCACAACGAACACTTCAAAAACCAATCGAATCTGCAAACCTGCTACATCTACCAGCAATCATTTATTCACTCACATAAGCATTGGCAAACGGGATATTGGGATCGAAGTATTGCCGTAGATGACATTGAGTCATTGCCTCGTCTGAAAAAATGTTTCTCTCAAGAAATTCATACTACAAACCCTGAAATCCTATCCCTCAACTCACTCCATTCAACCAATCCAGTCGTAGTATTAATGATTGGCTTCACAATCGTCTGCCCTTCTGCCCCATGTCGTCCGGGAAATGGCTCGGAATATCTATTGATCCATCCTTCTGTGATCATTTCAGTTGAAAATCCAATTGGGCGAAGAGTGAATGCAGTCACAAAGCAAACATAATACAATGTGAATGCAGTGAATGAGACAATCATACTGAAAATATCAAGTTATGGTTATTTTTACCGGCCTAATGGATTACTTTCTCTTGGCAAACGCCTCCCATTTCGCTTCTAGAAGAGTGTCGAGGAGACCATCGAGAAGCTCCAGATGCTCAACGGTTTGCTAAAACAGAGAAGACTACTATAATTATTCTACATTCCAGAAATTTCACCCCATAAACAACAAGAGAAAGAGCAGATGCCTCATTCAACTCTCCGCTCGTCTCATTAATCGTATCAATTTTTGCCAACGGATAGGCAGTAGAAGATGCATCTCCATATGCCCAAATACTATCTCCTTCCAACTCCAGAATCTCCGTAAACATTTCTTTTTTTGCCAACTTTGCAGCCAATGTCAATGGAGACAAACTCTGTTTGTTAACTGTCCGAAGACTGGCACCACATTCCAGAGCAAGTTTGAACATTGCCATGTTTTCATGGATCACACACATATGAAGTACTGTATTTCCATTTGTATCCTGTGCGTTTGGATTTGCTTTGAACGCAAGAAGAAGTCGGAACATTTCTGGTTGATTCAGGCAAGCAGCAAATGAGAGGGGATACTCTCCAAGATACATGTTTCTGAAAATCTAGCTTGTTTTATCGAACAGTAAATAGTCCGTACCCAGTGTAGTTTGTCTTCAATGAGAGCTCTACGTATTCATGTTCCAGTGAATCGGTTCTCGATGCTTTCTGATCATCAGCACAGAAGAATGCACCATAGCATCTTGAATTAACATCAGCTCCCAATTTCAAAAACTTGAAAACCAGCTTGCAATCTGTGTTAATAATTGCCTGATGTAGAGGAGACAACCCATAGAAATCCTCGGAAATATGGATGTCATTCAAAAGTTTTGGATAGTACTCCAGAATTTTGTATACAAGAGCATTATGAATATCGGAAGCGTGTAGAAGACAACATCCGATGATCGTCTCTCCCATGGATCCTCTCTCTTCCAATTTCCATGAAATCTCTCTGTATTTACTCTCATTTCGTCCTCCTTTTCCTCCACCATCCAAAAGTTTCAGAGCTTTTTTCAAGTCTCCAACATTTTCTCCCTCTTGATTAAAGTCATCAAGTACATTCGGTCCACTTTTTCCTTTTCCCTTTTTTCGTGAGAAAGCTCCGAGTCTCTCGTTTCTTTCCTAGAGAAGATTAATGATTGATGGTTGCCTAGAAATGAGAAGAAACCACCTACCTTATTTCTCAGTTTTACCAGTTCGGTTACAGTTACAAGTTTGCCTTTCCCTTGATTGTATAAAAACTCTTTAACTTTTGTTTCGAGATAAGCATCAATGAACGAAGTATCGCTGCTTGTGATCGCGTATCTGGAAATCGAGAAGCAGGTGATTCAGAAGTGGAGAGGCACGTCATTTGAATGGCAAGAGAAAAGAGAATTCTGGAAGCCTTAAATTCCCAGAATCACATGACTGATCAGAATATGGGGATCATGGGAGAATGTTTCAAATGATATTAGCTCAAGAACCGCTTCCACAAGCGAGTATTGCAACAACTATCATAACCAAAGCCGTCTACTTTGAACCCATATATCACAATTACTGTAAATGATATCAAAAAGTGGTCAACTGGCAAAATGTTTAATATAATTTGAAAAGTATTTTATTAGGTGAAAATTTTTTGATATATTTTACAGAAAATTAGATATATAAGCTTAAAGTTAAAGGTTTGGTGGGCTCTATTATATGAAATACTGTAGATGAACTCCCAGAACAGCTAAAATGCACTGAGAATTTCGATTTATACAGTTTATCGAATTTAAAACAGTAATCTTGAAGTTTAGTCATTTTTCCGATTCCCATGATTTCAATATATTGTTTTACATAATAGTCAAAAAGTCAAACGTTTTTTTTTGGGAATGTATTCCTAATGTATCCTAAGTGCGTCATAACATGTTACTACAAGTAGAGATTTGGCTGACCGATTAGAATAAACAGAAAGTGAAATGAGGCATATTTCTAGGCTAGAATGAACGGCTAATCAAATTTCTTAATTTTTATAGAATGACAGATAGATTACGATTTTGGAATCCTAGATGTAATCAAGAAACTTTGCTTCTAATGTTGCAATATTCACCTACAGTAATATCGCCAGAATCTTCAATATTTGCATCCCTCGAACGCGGTTTTCCTACCAGTGACCAGGATTCTTGATTGCTCAATTTCGAAAAAAAACGAATAAAAATTCATACCAGGAAGTCACAAGAATTTTGAAATTTTACTTTGAAAATGGAAACAAGATGAAAAACCCAGTAAAAGAACTCAGTAAATTATAGGTGTCAATTTTATGGATCATTTCGTTTTCTTTCCTGGGTTGGAGGACAAGAGAAAGCTTTATGTTTTTTGTTGTTGGGTTAAGTGGAATAGAAGAAAAAAGCGATTATATGAATCTATAGAAAATTGTAATAGAGAAAGTCCAGAGGTCCAGAGAGCAAGTATCGGATAAGATAACATACCTGAGCCATGGCAAGAGTTCTCCACCTCCGTGCATATCGACCAACTGATAGATTTTCATGTCTTCTCTCAATCTTCCCATCCCCACAAAATTGTTCATTGAGGACTGGGTGGACGATGCCGACCCCATCCTGACAATCTCCTGACCGTTACTTCCGCTGGTTTGGGATAATTCTGAAATCAAATATGACTGGTTAGCTATTATTCTAGACCCATAATTTGTGTTCAATATCAGATTTGTATTCGCTGTTTTCGGAATTTCGAAGGCAAAGTGAGAAAATGAATAGTCAAAAAAATGGGGAGAAATTCGGTAGTCGCCATTCGCGACATGTCAGAATAACAAAAACTGAATTCGTGGAGCAGCTGCTGCCAGGAGTGTGAGGGCGTGGTCAAATCCCGAATCTCTTCAAAGACGAAGGCAATAAGCTGAAGAAGGAGAAGGTGGTGGGCAAGGAGAAGAGAAAGACATGAGACTCTGGGAAAATTGGACAGGAGAGAGTCGGTCGTTGATTGAATTCTCACTTTTCGGTTGCTAGAGCTCGAAAAGAATGTGTTTCTTGGGGAAGAAAAAGAGAAAACCAGACATTGACTTTTATGAAATTATACGAAATTATTTATGAGGGTTGAAAGGAATTCCAAAAAAAATCTGAAACTTTGAAAGTGGGGACAAAAAAACTACTTCAATAAAAACCCCCAAAAATCTCCTGTTCTCCCTCCTTTAAAAATAAAATTGACTATTGTCATTATATTTTATAGGTCCAGGGATATGAGAAATTTCTCTTACCACTTCCGGTATAAGTATCTGATAAACAGATAATGGTTGAACCATCCGAATCTGTGATTTCAGGCGGCAATTCCGGTGGATCCATTTCGTTTTGTTCTTTTCTGAAATTTCAATTTTTCTTAATTTTTTGCTCCATTCTCTCATCAGCTCTTCCTGAAACGGTTGGAAAGACAGGTGAAGTACGAATTGTTTTAATTGAAACAGGTGGATTCGCAAATGTTAGCTCTTGGAGCTCCGAATAGTTCTGAAACAGAGAGTGAGTTACAAAATACACAGGGAAAGCAAAAATTCAAGAATCTGGAAATTCGAAAAAAGAGAGTTATTTGCGAGGGAGAAGACAGAAGTTACAGGAAGACATTTTTAAAATTCAGAACAAATCATAATTTCAAAAGTCTAGCAAATAAACTCAATTTCCCAGATTTTGATTTAAAGCAAGGCTGTGCCACAACGGCCGCGGCACATTAAAAAAGGATACTGCGGCCTAGCGGCCCTAGTAATACCTGGGTAGCTGAGCTTATTTTCGAAAGAACGGCCGGATTTGTCCACGGCAAAGTACCCACGGCCTCGGCCGAATTTGGCACAACCTTGATTTAAAGGATATGTTAAGAATCGCCTATCACGAACTTCTAAACATTTTAGAATCCGTTTGCCAGTTTCAGCCGAGTTATATCTGTTTCAGTACCAGAAACCTTTTTTCAGTGAAAAAGTAGCTGATGTTAGTCAATTTTCTCAACTTCTAGGGAATTGGAGTTCGGTTTTGTATGCTAAGAATTCAATGAAACTTCATATTTCAGACATTTTCTCCAACATTTTTTAAAATAAAATCATTTTTGAAAATCGTTGTTTTTGCACTAAAAACTGCGATTGTGGTACTAAAACTGATGTAACTCGGCTGAAACTGACGAGCGGACCCTGAACGTTCCAGAAGTGTCTAGATAGTTTATTCTCAACCTATCCTGAAATGTTCATAAAAATCTGGGTTCACAAAGGGTTCTCACATAAAGGCCATTTTTTTCAACGGATAATTTCAAAAGTTGGTACTATTTCGAGTGATTATCTAAAAAATTAAAAACAAAAGTGTAAATCGATTGAGTTTTGAAGGAACTCAACCAAATTTTCCAAGAACATATTAACAATATGAATGGCGTTATTCAGCTAGGTGCGACTTTCTCCGGAATGTTAATCAACTGATCCCGCCTGTTTCTTGCGTGACTGAAATTCATTTTGCTCAATGGGTATACGGACTTCAGTCCCTCTCTTTCGACCTAAATCCCTCGAAGCTCATGGCGTTTTGCAAAAACAGAGAAATTATTCAGAAAGAAAATTCCATCGGCTGTCTTATGAAAAATCCGGAAAAAGCAAGTATTTTGAGGTTACTGTTGTTGTCGTTGTGGGGACTTCTTCCGCGGCCACCAAATTTTCACTTCCACAGCTCCGATTTCTGCATACCAGAACAATAAATACTTTTCTTTCCCATTGCTGACCCAATTTATCTCTTTCAAGACCCCCTTTCACCGTGATCGCTATTTTTCGCCTAGAATCGAAACGTGTCACTCGTTATCTATCTGCTCATTCCTTTCATATTAAGTTGTTTAGCCAATATTTCAATAATGATCTCAAATTGGAATCATGTTGATGTTCATCTCGCTCTACACCAATCACAATTCTACTATCCAATTTTACTTTTTGCTCTTTTAATTCCCATTTTTCTCTTCAATTGTGCTCAGAGAGGAACAGTAAATTCGAATGCCCAAGTGTAAAATTTCATGACCTCCACATTAAAAAAATCAAAAATTTCAGAGATAAAAGCAAGTCAAGTACAACGGGAACAACGTCTGGAAATCCAGTAGAAACAACAGCAATCGCTCAAGATAGTTTGATGGCAAAACCAGAACAAGAATCACCGACTGGGGGGACAAAAAGCAATATGTTAGTATGACAAACAATCATTGGATTACTGTAGTTTCAATTTCAGGCTTGATTCGATAAAAATTATCAGAGGGAAGAAGAATTTAAGGAAGCCAACACAAAAGCAGAAGAAAGGGGAAACCGATTCACAGCACACTCAAATCATCAACATTCCTCTTGGAAAAGCATCCGGGTATTTTTAAAACACAACCACTCTTCTGACTTCATTGAAAAATTTTAAGATCTGAAGCGGGCGCCAACAAATTGACGATTCCAGAAGAGCAAAAAGCTGTTGAGAAACCAAATGGAAAGAAGATTCAATTTGCGGATAAAATTGTGAAATCCACAATCACTCCTGGAGCTAAAAAGTGCTTTTAGATATTTTTTAAAAGAATAAAGTTGTTTTGTGCTTTAATTATTGTTGTTGTGTACTTCTGAAGATATATAAAGTTACGATAGCTTATCCTTTCAATACTTCCAAAAATGTTCTTGATCATATCCCTTTGTATTCATTAATAGCCATTTGTCAGTCCCCATGAATACAGTGCGGAAAAGAAGGTCACAACCAGTGAGACAGGTTTTCGATTTAAGTTAGATTCTAAACATCTGGAAGAAAAAATGTTAGTAGAAGATGTTAGATCGGATTAGGAGTAGTTTAGGCAAAAATTTAGGTGAGAGAAGCGTGTTCGCAAGTTTTTTTCCTAGTAGTGTAAATTGAATGAAAGGGCTTCAGGCTTTTTTTTTGAAAAGTTTTAGTGTTACAAATTTCGAAGGAACTGTTCGCATGGCAACTGGATTAAACGACTAGGAGCTAAATGTACAGTGCCGGTCAAAAGGATTTTAATTTTACCTATTTTAGTCGATAACAAAAATATAGTTGATTTCGCTGAATGCGACAAAAATGGTTCCGATCTACTTAACGAAAACAGTTCTTCAATTTTGCATTCGGCAACTTTTTTGTACAAATTAACCAAAATGCGATATACCGCATTTCCTCTAACAGAATCCCACCAACCCCTCTAACTTTGAGCTCAATTGTCTCGATTCCTGTGAAAGATATCAAAATTTTTATCAACTGATAAAATATTGGTGATGCTATGATGAACAATTTATCAGACAACAAAATGTTTATATCTCTAACAGGAATCGAGATAATTGATCTCAAAGTTGACGATTTGGGTGGGCTGCTATTGCAGGAAATGCGGTATTCAAGTTGGTTATTTCCCATTTCAAATAGGTAACTTTTTGGCCAGCCCTGTGATTATGATATCCATGAAGTTCTGATCTGGTTTTCTCTAAAAACGGCCTATTCAAGAAATTCTTAGTTTGAATTTTTATAGTTAGTCTCAAGGACTTTAAGAAACTTTTTAATTTACAAGCTGTTATTCAATTTCTATAAGGAAATTGGTTGGGAACTTTTATTATGTTGAGAAACAACCTGGTCTTCCATATCTAAGAATGGAACTCTCAATATTTTTTTAGGAATTTAAGAATGGCATGATTATCATCTTTGACTTATGTTCTGTGATAAGAATATTCCATCTTTTAATTTTTTCAAATCGTTTCAAAACTAGACTGTATCAACCTAAATTAATGGGCGGTCTTCTGATATTCCATCTTCCCGTGATGTTTCTTTCTCTTTTAGATTATTATCCGATCCACACCCATCCCTCACAACATACGTAATCACTTTCCATTTTCCTCGTTTCTTTGTTCTCTTGTTTCTATGGAGGGCTGGCTGGTGGTGGGACAGAAGAGGAAAACTGAATACTCTAACGATTTAAAATCTCCGAAATTATTTTTCGGCTTGTCATCTCTTGACCTTAACAGGTTTATACTGTGTTCCGCATGCATCCGTTTTGCTTCTTGATTCGTATCACATTTTGAAGATTTTTTCAAATATCTGAACCGAATTCCTTAGAAAGTTTCTTCCCTGTTTTTGAAAAAAATGACGGGATCAGAATCAGTTCGCTATTTTTTCCTCCATTTTTGCAGGTGTGCAGTCAGGTCAGATAGCATAAATGACGTAGAATTGAAGACTACAAAGAATACAGAATTGGGAAAGGCGTTTCGGGAAGTCCGCTTCTCTCTTTCTCGTCGAATCGTTTTATCGTCCAGACTCCCCGCGATGATTTCAGTTCGTAGATAGATTTCAACGACCAAACACCAATCCGCCAGGCAAACCATTCCCCTACACCATTGTTGGCTCATTAGTCTCTGCGCGAACATTGAACCTCGGTTATTTCGCACGCGAGCACAAAACAGCAAAACTGCTCAGACAGTACGAGTAACGTCTAACCATTGTTTTTGTCATAGTAGGTAAGGATTATCGTCACAGCAGTCAGTGAGGTGCGAACCTGTGGCCTGCCTGTTCTCCATCTGGCACACAACCTCGACACTACATGCGTCATTTGTCTCTTCCCCCTCTTTGCAGTTATAAAGCGGCGAGTGGGAAAGGCGGAGGAAGAAAAGAGTCTATGCCAGCGAGCGGTGGATAGGGAGGTCTAGAAACTACAAACTACGAAACCTAGTGATATTTGCAAAATGGCAGTGAAATTTGCTTAACTAAAAGTACGATTGATATGATTCAAAATGTCTCAAAACATTGATCAAACTAATAATTTTTCTATTCCTCTCATGATCGGAACGAGATGTAAACCCAACACCTGTCAATAAAAAACCATTTCCTCGTTTTCGAACTAACCAGCCAACCTCTTTTCTATTCTTTGTTATCTAAGATTAGTCTGTTTCAATCAATTTTCCAAGGCACAAGCAGTTAGTTATAATTTTTGATAAGACTATTCATGTCAAATGAGAAAATGAATCATTTGAGTCATCTTTAGAGGATTTTCATCCCACGAAAACTTTTTAATAATTATGTCACTTGAGAATTTTCTCAGATTTAATTTCCAGTAAACTCACGGCGTTTTTTTCGGATCGTCTGGCAAATGCGCTCGCAAAGTGTTTTTCAGGAACGTCGTCTAAATGTGCTCTAATGCGATGACCGTAATTCTACAGTTAAATTATCATCTGGTCTCGACGCGAAAGCTCTTAATAGAACTGCTGAGCCGCTACTCAGCGGTGCCTGCATTCCTTCGGAGGAGAACGCGGGAAATAATTATTTAAAGAAACGTTCCGGGAAAATTAAACTTTTATTCAAGGTAGCTATAGCAAAGTTCCCACAATTATGATCCTTTGATCCAAAACTCAGTTTAGGGTTCAAAAAATCAAAAAACCCTTTTTTTTCTCTAAAAGTGTTCTTTAGTACCCGAATAGAGACAAATCAAACATTTATAGTGTGCTCCTCGTTTCTCTGCCCTTATATTTTCAGTTGAATTTATTTCGTTTCCTTCCTCTTCTTAACTTCTTATCACTAGGAAATGTTTGAGTGTGTGGAGGACAAAAAAGAACCTGATAGTTTCATTTTAATGCTGGCTGTTTCGATCTGAAATTGATTTTTGAACCGACATTCATCTCTCCTGCACTTTCTACTCTAGACTCCATGATGATTTCCTTGAAGTGACGCAAAAAAAATGAAATGAGTTCTATTCTGGTCTGGTTTTGTTAGAATCTAGAGAACAATGTCTGAAATGCAATAAGTTGAGAACAGAAAACACGAAAGGAGGAAAACCCAGACATTATAGCCAGTGATCTTTCAGAAAACTGGTGTAGATGTGATTAAAGAAAGATCAAAATGACCCAGACAGAGATCCTTATATATATAAGGTTTTGGTATTTTTAGAGCCTCTCCCAGTTTTTCTCCACTTTCTCACACGAGTTTTCTTATCTCTGATTTGATAAGTTTCTTTTTCCCGAGGTTTTCATTTTCCCTCAGTTTTTGAGGTTGTTTCATTGAACTCTGTCTCAAAGGGAGGCTGAAATTTGTTTTTTTGTATTTTTTTGCATCAAAATGTTCTGAAAGTTATGTATTTTCATAATATTATGTGGAAAAAATTCAGCTAAAATTCTAAATCCCGGAAAAATGCCGCCGTCCGTTCTTGTCCAAGTTTATTTCATAGTCAAATAATTTTTTTTTCTGAAACTATCAATGATGTTGTAGGTTTCTAATTATTTCTAAGTTATGATAAATCCAAGTTCATTTTACGAGTCAGGATAAAAAGGATAACGGGATTAAAACACAGTAAAAAGCAGTGCAAAAGAAGAAGAAGAAGAAGTTTCAGCTAGAAAATAATTTTACATAGTTTGATTTCTTTAACATTTTGATTTGATTAGGTCCAAAGTATAAGGCAAAAGAAATGTTCTCGAATGTTCTGCATAGATCAAAAAAATTTCCTCCGTTTTTTTGCATATGTCTTTCGTATGATAAGTTCAGTGATTGTACTCCGACAATTGTTTCATCAGGTGATAATTTTCTAAATAGCCATTTTTGTTTCTGCATTTGATGTTTCTTCTGACGTGAAATCGTATGCTCTTTCTAACATCACTCTAGCCGTAATTTCCAAGATTCGAGAAATGCGAGAATCATAAACTTCTAGACATGCACATTTTCAGCTTATTAGAGATGTTTGAGAAATCGCACAACCTTTGCATAGTGAACCTTTTGATCCCGTTGCTGATGACACTAGACTTTTGAATATTCTAATGATACCTGATTACTGTAGTGCTTTCCACTCTTGAGAGTTTTGTATGAAATATTTAAATGTTTTTAGCTAGATATTTAGTAAAAAAATTTCAGACTGTTTTCTTCGCCTTCAATCCAAACAAAAATATCAGGTTCATATGTTTTCTGTCTTGTGCCTAATCTAATATTCTGATATTATTGAGATTTGAAATTTTGTGATCGCAAACAATTACAATTTTCAGAGCACCTTCTTCTCTAATATTCTAAAAACCTTCAGATGTTTGCTATACTATAAGCCATCAAGTGGCTGGTACGAGCCGGGCCCTGGCCGTGCCTATTTTTTGGTCTGTTTCGTCTGTAACTCTGTGACGTTTCTCTTGTAAATGTAACTCATAGACAAGATACAGTTTTTCAAATAATATCATTTTGTAGTACTCGTCGAGTTCTATCATATCTATTTGAGTTGGTCCAAAATGTTGATTCTAAAAGAAAATATGACAAGGCCCATTTTTTCAATATGGTGTTTACATTTTGATACTTTCAAGTTTTGACACTGGAACCTACTTCCCATTATGCAAATACTGTCAACTTTCGCTTTTCTGCTTTTCCGCTTACTCGTTGCGATTCAAATTTCTCCGTCAACACAACTATCTGTATTTTTGTTACTTCTACTATAGTATTGTCTGTATTTGTTTTCTGTCAATTGATGTCCCTAGTTTCTTTTCAAAGCTCATCGTGATCAAACTCCCCGAACAATAGGAGAACTCGATCTTTGAAATAGCTCTCAAAACTTTAG